TCCCCCTCCTCATTGCGAGAGCTGTAAGAGGGGGATTCAAAATACAACCTAGTCCTTTTGAATGAAGATGGATTCTGACAAATGACCATAGATCACATCTTCTAGGAGGCTTTTAATTTTGACCATAACACTACAATCCCCAAAGCATGTAACTTCCATACTGAACTAACTCCTTTTTTCTTTTTCATCCACATAAGTGAAATTCTCCAGTTGTTTCTGTTTCAAGCGTTGCTTGATGTGACAGATGCCCATAATATGTCTAAATCAAAAATGTGAATTTTAGGGTCACAATATTAGTGCTGGAAAGAACCTCACAGATCATGAAATCTAATCCTGTTTCTTATTTTATTGGAAAACACAGGACCTAGAAGGATTAAGTGACTTGTTCAGGGTCACACAGCTGTTTGTGTCCTTCTCCCAATTATTTGGATTCCATAAGCAGAGATATTTCCAACTACGTCATGTTGATACATCAGAGAAACTCACTATTACAGGAAATTTCTGATGCCTTTAAAAAAATAAAATATGGGATTTTCTAAAATGAGAGTCATCCTTTTATCTATGAACCAAAATTTGTGTTTTGTTTATTAGTTTTTCTAGTAGTGGAATAACCCCTGAGCTTGTTTTGCATTCAGTCAGTGGTTTGACTATTCTGGTTCTAATAAATGTCTCCTTTTTAATGTTCTCTTTTTCTAATTAACAAAGTGCCAAGTAGAAAGAGATAAGTTATGCACTTTAATTACAATAACCCCAGGCTACTGGGAGAATTCTTATCACTGGCTTGGACTGTACATTCTGTGCTCACTTAGAAACAGCGTTGGTAAAAACTTCATGTAAGCCGCCGATGTGAGACCTGAGGTAGTGGGGCCATCAGGAGACAAGAGCAGTGAGCTTTCATTCCAGGTTTCTTTTGAGTCGTGCTGTGCCCAGTCTTCTTTGTGCTGTTTCCTTCCTATTGAAAATTGGAAATGATTATTAGCCTGGATTATTCTGAGAGATAGGAGATAGATAGTGCTGCAGAGGGCATGGAGTGTAGCCTCAGGAGTCCAGAATTCTAGATCAACTCTGCCACTGAATGAGCTGCCTCAGGGTGTGTCACGTGGACTCTCTGAGCCTCAGTTTACTCCTCTGTAAGATGAATTGGTTGTGCTAGCTCATCACTGAGATCTTTCTACATAAATTAAAATTTCTTTGACTCTAAGTACTTGCAATTCCATATTCCTTTCCTCACTCTTATTCCACATCCTTTATTTCCCCAAATTGAGCAACCTCTAGTTTCAAAGAAATATGTTATATAAAGTATCAAAACATAAGCAAGTTTTGCAAACATTGAACAATTTTATGCATTGAATACTATATGTATTATTTTACTTGTCCAAATGGGCAAAGAATCTGGAATCATTCCCATTCTCATCATGGTATTATTTCATACCTGGAGCAATGAATTCATGGTCCTTTTCTCCAAGGAGTTGCCTTCAAGATAGAGAACTTCCCAAGTCAGGTGAAGGGGCAGTAAGAGACCTCAGCTGCCCGTACTCCATCCCCCAGCTTCTCCATGTTTTAGGTTCTTACTAAAGTATCTTAGATACTTGGTGCCAAAAAATCTGTATGATAGAGTATTATGGGTATTGAACTAAGGGTCATTTGATCTGGTTCTGGTCCAAGACCTTCCTCTGATGAGATGCATGACCTTGGTTTTAGGTTGCTTCCCTTCCGTGGTCTCAATTTCCACATTTGTGAAATGTTAAGGTTGGAAGGGGTGGTGTCCAAGGTCTCCTTCAACTCTAAACTTCTAGTTTTGACTTGGGAAAGGGACAGGATTGGTGGCAGTTTGGGAGAAATGTCTTTGGATTTGGGAAAACTGTAATGATTCCTCTTCAGCTATTCCCCCACTTAAGTAGGCATGGCCAGTTGGTCCAGGACCGAGAGGGAGTCCCACCATAGCGCAGCACTGTGGGAGGGTCTCCTCTGCCTGGTAGAGGGTTTGGCCATTGGTGAGGATGTGAAGTGGTAGTTAAATGAAGGAAAGGAAAGAATATCAAGAAATCTTTAATATGGCTCCTGCCCTCAAAGGGTTCATAATTGAGTTGGTAAACACAAGGGCAGCATTCCAAGGCCCTTGGAATGTAAATACCATCCTAAACATCCATTGATTTTATCAAGCTATGCAAGCTTGTTCTGAGCTCACCATATATCCAAAGGTGGATAGCCCCATCCAGAAGATGAAGGAATGTCCTACATGTCTTGATGGCTTCATACTTTGAGTCACCATTTCTTCCCAGAAGAGTCTGATGTTCTCTTTTTAAAATATCACTTGATTTTAGTCTTTTGATGGTATACATTCAGCTCTGTCCCCATAGAATGCATGCCAGCTGGAAGGATGGGCAGGCTATGTATGAGCAGATAGGAGAGGGGGTAAGTTGCCAATGTGGAGAAGAGCATTAACCAAGGTCTTGGGGCAAGGAAATGCAAGGTGCAGTTAGGAGACAACTGGTAGATCAGTTTGTCCATAATATGGCTTTTGAAGAGGAAAAAAAAAAAAAGTTGAAAACACAATTTGGATTCAGATTATAAGTGGCATGATATAGTCAAAAGAGAGACCAAGGATAAATTCTAGCCCCATTGTTAGTCTGCATGCTTTTGAGCAAGTTATTTAATCTCTTTGAGTTTATATCTCCAGTTGGCAAAATGGGAGGAGTATTAACACCAATTGGTGGTGAGCAGCCACCAGACAGACCTTGGATTGGAGTTAGGTTTGTCCAGTTACAAAGTCTTCTACTTTAGGCAAATCATGTAACCTCCCTTAGCTTCAGTTTACTTATCTACATGGGAGTAATTGTACTTAGCTTGCAGGATTATTATAAGGTTTAAAAATGTATTAAGGACTTGTGGTCAAGATGGCAGAATAGACAGTCCCCAGCATCACTCTCTCCCACAAATCAACCAATTTGGAACTATAAAAAAGCAACGATGGCCAAGCTGGGGCTGCTGTAGTTCAGGGGAAGAGAAGAAGAGACCTACAGAGTATATGAAGGTGGGAGAAGCCACGGTGAGAGAAAGAAAAAACCACTCTGGCCATTTCATGCTGTGGCCACTTTAAGGTTGGAGCTGCTGAGTGCACAGAGCAGGAGCTGGCAAAAGCCGCAGCTCTGACCTTTGGATGGAGTAGCTTGGAGGTGGCAGGAGAGAAGAGGGCCTTGGTGGCCCCCAGGCCAGCAAGACCACTAATATGGTTTCCGTGGACCCACATAGGAGTGAGGAGCCAGAACAACTGAGAAAAGGAGTCGCTCAGAGGTAGGTGAGTCATCTCAATGGACTGACACATGGCCTGTCCCATGGGAAGAGTTTGGAGCTCAGGTGATGGGGGAGATGGGCCCACCAGGGGAACACTGGGGCACAGCAAAGTCAGCTGCCCAGCACCCCAATCAGCACAGGACCACTCAGAGGAGACCGGTCAAGAATACAGAATTGCATGGGGTGCGGTTTGATGAAAAGACTCAGGCCCAGATCAGAGTTTCTAGACAACCCAGGTGCACTGGGTCTCTGGAGAGCCAGAAGTACCTGTAAAGTCAACCATTAAAACCTGAGCTGCACAAAATGCCTTCCTTAGGGAATCAGCAGCAAAGCAGCAATTTAGCTCAACCACACAGCTCAAGTACTGCCCCCCACAGAAAGTTCTCCCATTTTAGAAGTAACAAAGGATAAAAAATTAGTTCCGGCCCAGGCACACTGCCAGTGCCTCAGGGCTGCCCAGGGACCTGAGGTATGTGTCCAGGCCCCCATCCCCCCTCCCACAACCAGGCACATTGCCAGCACTGGATCCGGGACCAAGTCCCCCCTCCCGCAGCCAGCACACCGCTAACACCTTGAGGCCCACCCAGGGACCCAAGGCATGGATCCAGAGACCGGACTCCCACCACAACCAGTTACACTGCCAGTGCCTTGGGGCCCATCTGGGGACCTGAGGTATGAAGCTGGGGACCAGACCCCCCTCCCACAGCGCCTCAGGGCCTGCCCGGAGTCCTGAGGCATGGATTGGGGACCAGACCCCACTCCCACAACCAGGCACACCACCAGCACCATGGAGCATGCCAAAAACATCACCTCCATGTGGGTGGCCCACCACAGCTGCCACAATAACCATGGCTGCCACAAAAGTGGCTAGATGCCACAACCACCACACAGATGGTCTGCCAGCCACCGGAGTACATTGACAAAGGAGAGTCACCAGCAGAGACCAGAGAAAAGAAGAGGATGTCTCTCTCCACAAAGTTCATTCCAGAGTGACAGAAGAAGCATCTGCTCAACAATAATATTGGGGGACCTGAACACACCTCTCAGCATTGGACAGATCATCTAGGCTACAAATCAACAGAGTAACCATTACTCTTTCAGAAGGAGAGAAGAAATCTAGGGTAATTAGAGGGGGGAGGAAGGAGGGAAAGGGGGATGGGGAGAGATTGGACAAAGGGCATAAAAAAGAAAAAAATATGTATTATGTATGGCACCTAACAGTGCTTGGTAAGTAGGAGAGAGAGAATAGGTTTCAGTAATAATAGCAATAGGGAAAATAAGGAGGAAAAAGAGTCGTTATTGAGATCCTTAAATTCTTGACCTATAGGAGGCTAGAATTTATGTGGTAGGCAGTGGGGAGACATTGAAGATGTTCTTTCTGATAAGGAGACATAAGATAAGGAAGAGAATCTTAACACTGATGAGAATATGCATAAGAATGTCAAGAATGCACAGGGCCAGGGAGAATACTCTGGAGGCCGAGAGCCCAACCTGCTGAAGATAAAAGTGAAGGTTTCTTCGTGCACGTGTCATATACTCCTTTTACTACCGAATGGATTTCTTCCTCTGAAATCCAACAATTCTGAATATATGAGAGAAGCAGAGATAGAAATGGAGAGAGAGGCAGGGAGAGAGATGGAAAGACACAGAGGTGAAGAGAGACAATAGGAAGGAGTGGTCCTCAGGGACTTTTGGCTCTTTGAGTGATGACATGTGGTGCACAGCTGTGCTGCATGCAGGTGGCTCAAAAGAACCTGCATCCAGGTATAAATCTGTCATCAAAAGGCTTGGATTTTCAGCTGACAGGTGGGCTATTTTAAATAAAACTGTGGGGAGTTGGTGTGGAGGGGATGAGAACAGCACCTCCGGTGTTATCCCACCTCTGTTCAGATGTGCCTGAACACCCGAGAGCAGCTCATCCTACCCTGTTTCTGTATCACCTGCTGAACGCGTTTCTCTCTTCCTTTTCCAGGAGACCAGTAAAAATGTCAACAGTGTGCCCCCTGACAGAAACGACTTTTGGCCATTTCCTTCAGCTCCATTTTCAATCTGTTTGCTATTTTGCTTGGAGGAGTGCTATGATCTGAATGTTTATGTCCCCTGAATTTCACATGTTGAAATTCTAATCCCTAAGGTGATGGTTTTGAGAGGTGGAGCCTTTGGGAGATGATTAGATCATGAGGGTGGAACCCTCGTGAATGGGATTAGTGTTCTTATTAAAGAGGCCTGAAGGTGCTTGTTTGCCCCTCTCACTGTGTGAGGACACAGCTAGAAGGCACAGTCTATGTAGAAGTGAGCCCTTACCAGATACCACCAGCACTTTGATCTTGGACTTCTCAGCCTCCAGAACTGTGAGAAATAAATGTTTGTTGTTTATAAGCCTCTTGGCTTATGATATTTTTGTTATGGCAGCCAAAACAGACTAAGACAAGGAAGGTGAGTTTGTTTTTGTGAGAAAAGTGTTAGCTTAGCTTACTCTGAAAGCAGAATGTCTTTGAGTTCAGTTTATGTTTTTTATATTATTTTTCTTTTTTCTTTTTCACCAGTCGTCCAAATACAGTGGGCATCTAATAACTAATAAGCATCAGAAACCTACCAAAGTCATTTTCTGTTGCCAAAGGTATTGCTACCCTAAAGGCTGGTGCCTGGCATGTGCACTTTAGAGAAGGCAGCTAGTACCTGTGCCAGCCCAAACCCACTGGGAGGACACGAAAGGCTGCCACTCCTGAGGGAGTGTGCCTGTGTGGAGCCTAAATCAGATCTGTTGTGGATCAGTGGACTGTGTAGATGACAACTGAATAAAAGGGTTAATCAGATTATCCCCCAAAGGACAATGGCCTGTATTGTCGTCTAAGAGTTTTTCTCAGCCCACCTTCCAGTTCTGAAAGATCTTATTGTCCTGCTAAAATAGGTGGAAGTGGTTGGCCCCCAAGATATCATATAAGGCCCCTCTTTTTTCTGGGTCTGGGAGTGTTTATTATAATCTCCCTTTCTTGTTTTAAAGAACTTTTAATGAAATACTTCATACTTCAAAAGTATTATATAAAAGATAATATGAACACTCACATGTACCCAGAACCTAGCTTAAGATATATAATATTACAGATACTGTCAAAGGCCCTTGTAAATCATACCTCATTCATATCCCTCTTCTAACTTCCCTTGGATATTTTTGTGACTGTCATTGTCTTACTTTTCTCAAGAGGCTAAATTACATATATATGTATGTACATGTATATATATATCCCTAAATAATATATTGTTTGCCTGCTGTTGACTTTTTATAGATGGTATTAAGCTGGATGCATTCTTTTGTAACTTGCATTTTTTTTTTGCATGAAATCATGTGAGATTAAGCCGCGTTGATGTATTAAACACTCATTCGGGGCCGGCCCGTGGCTCACTCGGGAGAGTGCGGTGCTGATAACACCAAGGCCACGGGTTCGGATCCCATATAGGGATGACCGGTTAGCTCACTGGGTGAGCATGGTGCTGACAACACCAAGTCAAGGGTTAAGATCCCCTTACCGGTCATCTTTTGAAAAAAAAAAAACAAAAAAAACACTCATTCGTTCATTTCCCCTGCTATGTAGTACTCTATTCCATTGATGTACTGTAATTCATTTATCCATTCTCTGTTGATGGACATTTGCAGAGTTGCTTGTTCTTATAAAAGGCAAATGTGGGATATTTTTTACTATTATAAGTTCTGATGCTACGAGCCTCTTTTGCACATGCCTCTTGGCACACATACGCAGGAAGCATTTCTCTAGGTTTTGTAAGTTGGGGTGGGATTGCTGGATATAAACATTTTCTACTTTATTAAATATTTCCAAGTGCTTTGCAAAGTGCTTGTGCCAGTTCACACATCTAACATGAGTGTATCCTTGGCAATGTTTTTCATTGCCTGACTCACATTTTTGCCAGTCTCGTAAGTATAAAATGGCATCTCTTTCTGATTTTAATTGGCATTTCCTTGATTACTTATGGAAGGAAACATTTTTCACATTTCTTGGTCATTGATGCTTTCTCTTCTGTGGTGAATTCCTTGTATGTTTCCAGTACGTCCTGATCCATTCAGCACAGCTCTGAGTGGGGATAGAAAGTGGAGCAAAGGCCTGTGTTGACAGAGGTGTGCTGTTTTTCTTTGTGAAGGCCCCGAGGAAGCAGGCAGTGGCCGCTATGGACCCCATTATATCACTGACATGGGAGCCAGTGAGGACGATGAGGGATTTGAAGACGACTTAGATTTGGATATTTCCTTTGAGGAGGTAACAATAATCCGTGCTCTTAAAACCCCGATTGTCTTTATTTTCTGGATGAACAAGGCAGTTTAGCCAATTGACCATAAACATTTTACTTAAAACTTAAATTGGCCCATTTGCTTTTAACACTTATTTGTTTCCTCTAATTACTAGGTTCCCCATGATCGTGAGTTAGTAGCAGGAATGTACCAAGCATGCTGATATTCTGTGGACAGCCTCTGCCTGCCAACTTCACAGTCTGGCAAAAAAATATTTAGATTTCCCACTAAGTGAAATTTTATAACAGTACCTATTATAAGAAAATGACAATTCCTCAGCAAAGTAACGTATCTTTGTAATGTTATAATAAGAATAAATTATATAATTGCAGCTTTACCACTGATTTTCTGGGAAACACAGAGCAATGTACTTAAAATCTCTGAGCCTCGGGTTCTTCATTCATAAATTGGGGTCAATACTATTTGCCCAATCTACATCCCAGGGTTTTTGGAAGTATCAACAGTGACCATATTTTCAAGTATTAGGCAGCAACCACAAATAAGGCAGTCTAACTACCATGCTCTGTGTTCATCCTGAACCTTTTCCTTCTCTGGTTTTAGATTAAACCACTTCCTGTTACCAAAGGAGGGAATAAGAAGATGACATCTATGCCTCACTCAAAGACTGTTTCCAGACTTGTCCCCCCTACCTCAGCATCTCTCCCTACAACTGCGGTGGCTCCCACCCCGGTAGAGAAGAAGGGGAAGAATGGTGTGGCCATGATGTCAAGGCTCTTTGACTTGTCTTGTGATGAAACCCTCTGCTCTGCTGACAGCTTCTGTATCAACGGTGGCTCCCACCCCGGTAGAGAAGAAGGGGAAGAATGGTGTGGCCATGATATCAAGGCTCTTTGACTTGTCTTGTGATGAAACCCTCTGCTCTGCTGACAGCTTCTGTATCAACGACTACACCTGGGGGGGCTCGCGATGCCATTGCAACCTGGGCAAAGGTGGCGAGAGCTGCTCAGAAGGTAGGTCCTCGGCGGGGTCGGGGCATGGTGGTGGGGGCCCACTGGGAGCTGGAGGGCAGTTTTCTCATCCAAACATGGTTCCTTCGAGTCCCTATTCTAATATAAGTCTCTTCTTCCATGTACTGGTCAATAATCAGCCATGCAGGGCAAAGTGCCAGGCAACTCTCACTGTTCCTAACTAGCCAGCAGCCGTGTTTCTACAAACGTGTAGTGCTTTCACAACAATCAGTAAATCGTCCTGATGGCACCTTGAGGAGGTGGGCTTTACTAGGATCACATCTCTACCAAAAATTCACCTAAAACATGTGCATGAGGGTTAAGAAGGATAATACTTGGACTAAGTTATATTACACAATGTACAGCTCAAAGCAGGTGACGATGGTCGTAAAGCCATTGATCTCTGTTTGGAGAAGCAAGCACCAATCTCCAAAAATTCAGTTGTTGCCTAAGAATTTCAGAAGCTCAAAGTCTCCAAGAATGAGAACAGTAAGTGTAAAAAATAGAGAAAAGAAGATAGTTATCCAAATTTAACAAACTAGTGGGGGGTTTTCACTTGATGGGATTCAGACAGTGGTGTGTATTGATCTTTGTTTTTGAAGAAATGAGGAAACAGCATTCTTTTGTGTTGTCTTTTTTCTTTTCAGATATTGTTATACAGTACCCTCAGTTCTTTGGACACTCCTATGTAACCTTTGAACCTCTGAAGAACGCCTATCAGTCATTTCAAATTACTCTTGAATTTAGGGTAAGAGGATTAGTCATTTGATGAGTGCTTATTGGGCATCTTAACACAGCAATGTGCTATATCCAAAGGGAAGGGGAGAGGAAGAGAGAAGCAGGGGGAGGGGACAATCAAAGGTAAATATGACACAGAGTCTGTCCTAAACCAGTTCACAGGATAGTGGGAGCAATGGGCACGTTCACAACATTTAAGTGTGCCAGCGAGGGGAGGGTGGGCTTTGTATGTTACTAGACTACAGAAGCTGCTGGTCTGAAGGTTCTCAGTGGAAATGTTGTGGTCCTTGCGATGATGTCCACAGTAGTGACTCCTCCCAGACCAGGATTTCAGGAGAAATATTGCATTTACCATTCCAAAATCCCTTTTACAGGGAGCACTAATATCTGTCTTCACTGTCATTGCTGTAGCCAAACAAACAGAAAACGTATACTGTACGTAACCCTGGCATATTGTGAGGGCCTGTTGGACGCTCTCCAATCTGAATCAGCTGCAGAATTCAATCAGTGACTTCAGCTTAAAGTGGCTCTTTTGGGTATCTCCAATGACACAAAAAGGTTTGGAGGTCTGGAAACAAGTCCCCCTTCAGGTCATGGCCACATTATTGAGTGTCCAAGAGATGACTCGTCTTTGTCTAAGACATCCAGCATGACTGTCGCCTGGGCTGTACTTACGTCCTGTGCTCCTGATAGAAAGAAAGAAGCAAATTCGCATGCCTCCCTAGAGGGAGGGGAGTAAAAAAGAATATAGAACAAAATGGAATGTTCTTTGGTGAGAATAGAGTTTGTTGAGCATGCTCAGTGTTCTCTCTATGAGCATGGTCTTTGCACATATGGTTTTCCCGGGGCTCTGAAGGTGGATCCACAAAGCCAAGTAAAAGCAGGTCAAAGACAGGGTCACCTTCCTCTCACCTCACTGCCATTCCTCACCCACTGTTTATATTGCAGTCATTTGTTTATTGAAAATGAACTGGCACTGGATGCCTGGGAATTAATTGGAGTCCCCATGCTTGCCCGTTTGTAAATAGGATTGCAGAGGAGAACCAGTCAAGTTTCGGATTCATGAATGTTTCCAGATGGCACTTTTGTGGAAAAGAGGTGCTCATTGTTCGTGTGGCTTTTGTTTGTATAATCACAGGCAGAGGCGGAGGATGGCTTACTGCTCTACTGCGGGGAGAACGAACACGGGAGGGGTGACTTCATGTCCCTGGCTATCATCCGGCGCTCTCTCCAGTTCAGGTAACTCCTGCCAAAAGCCCTGTGGATTTTTTATTTATACTATCCTACATTGTATTTACATTTTTATAGTGTGAATGAATTATATACAGCCTGGATTCCAGTAGATAAAGAAATGGAGTGTATAAAATGAGCATGGACCAGTTTACTAAATACTGGAGTATCCGGGTTTCAGGATAGCCTTTGAAACTTGAGTTTTGGAACCTCATAATTATTCACTCATTCAACAGCAAGTGGTTCCAGAGCTCCCACAATGTACCAGGCACTGCTGTAGATCCTGAGAATGCAGCAGTGAGCCAAAGAGTCCCTTCTCTTCTGGATCTCTAGGGAATGTGATGGGAAGGAGGCTGGGATCTCCTCCTGTTCTCCTTGTGGCAAATATGGATGGCAGCCATGGAGGGGAGGGAGGATGCTGCAGCCACCTGAGGGTTCACAGAGGCTCTGTCCTGGTCTTCCCCCGGAGCTGTGGTGAACTCTTTGGCTTGCGTCATCTACCCCGATCATTTCTTCCCCAACACACTTTGGAAGTCACCTTTAGCTTATGTGTGCCTCTCTTGAGAGAGGAGGGGCAGAGTTTTATGGAGGGTTGAGTGTTTTAATCACACATCACCCTCATGTAATCAATCACCTATTTGTGAATGGCCAATGCACATCAGCCTTGTCCTTCTCCATAGTGCCCTGGCTAAGATACTAATGACACCATTTCACTGTTACCTGACCTTCCACAAATGACGCAACCTCTCTAAGCCTGTGCTCCCTCATAGGGCCATTGTGAGGGTTAAATGAGTTAATCCAGAAAAGTGCTTAGAGCAGTGCCTGCCCCAGAGCAAGAACTCAATAAGCACCAACTATCATTGCCTTTTTTTATTACTATTTTAGCATGAAAAATACTTTTGTTTAAGTTGGAGAAGACTTTGGAGCATCCCACTTGGGCTAGAAAATGGGCCCCATCCTTTGGTGAATGATCTGATTTATGGAAGTTTGATGTTAGCCACTAGGACCTGGGGCAGTGGTTCTAACCTTGTGCAAGTCTAGCACTTGGAGGATCAGGTAGACTCTCAGTAGCACTGGCAGTTATTGGCTGGTTGCAGCTCTCCAACTCTGCAACTCCTGCTGAGTGGTTCTGATGTCCCCCTCTAGCTAAGGCTGTCCAGCAATGCCTTTCCACCCCATTCCACTCCACTGAGGATCATGAGATGGTAAGAGGCCCTGAGAAGTGGGCTGCAGATAATGCAAATCATAATAAGGAAAATGCCAGCCATGATGCCTTCCCCACTGGCAATCTCAGGCTCCATGGGGAAGTGGCATGGTGGCTGGAAGTTGACTGGAAAGGACTGAACTTTTTCCTTTCAGGCATAGTGACCAGTGGCCCCCTGGGCATAGGGAGGTTGGGAGAAAACAAGAGGAATGCAGCCATCTGAGGATGCTCCTCCGTTGTCCCACAGCTCGCCCCAGAGCCTGAACCTCCTATGGAAACCTCCCCTATATTTGGGCACAAGCTGAACACACATGGCAGGGCTGGCCAGCTTGCCAAAACAAGTGTGAAAACTTGAATTTTTACATTTTATTAATATCACTGAGCCTGTCATTTGAGAGTTGGGAAAGTCCCCAGAGAAATCCCAGGAAGCAGAGTGACTCATGTTCCAATCTGCTGCACTTCAAATCCACTTTAACATCCGGCAGTCTCTGAAAAGGAGAAGTTGGGCCTGAGCTGCCAGACGTTTTCTCAGCTGCAGAGAAAATCAGGTTAAAGAAGTCCCTACATTGAAAGGTCCTATGGGCAGATTAAAGATAACTAGACTGAGATCGTCCCAGGGAAGAGGCATCTAGTTCTTCCATGTATAGATTTAAACATCTCTTGATATTTGCAAACGTAACTCTAAACAGATTGACTCTGAAAGGAGCCATCACCCTGGAAGTGATGTCCATGGAATCTGAAAACATAATGAGCTGATTGATCAAAGAACCTTCCTTTTCTTTTCCTCTCCCACAGGTTTAATTGTGGAACTGGGGTTGCCATAATCATAAGTGAGACCAAAATCAAATTGGGGGGCTGGCACACAGTTATGCTTTACAGAGATGGGCTGAACGGGCTGCTACAGCTGAACAACGGCACCCCAGTGACAGGCCAGTCACAGGTGAGTGCAAGCCTCACCCCTGCTCACCCCACCTAGCACCCACTGTAGACATCCCGAGATGTGCTCACTGCAGAGAACTGAGGCAGATCTGCAGGATCCAAGTTCTGGATGGGCTTGGTGAGGCCCATTTTTCATGGTGAACCCATGCAACTGAGCTTTGACATGTTCCTGCTCAGTCTTGCCAGTCAAGGTGGGCTTTCAGAGCACACATCCATCATGCATCTGCCCAGGAGAAGAATTGAACTTGCAAGTGTCATTGCTGTTGGGTGCACAGCACATGCTGTAGGCCTTGTGCCCAGGGACATGCTCTCTTTCCACAAGGACATCAAGGCCAGGGGTAGAGGAAGGCCCATATTAGAAGAAGAGAACCCATTATTAACATCAAACACAAAGCTTGCTTTTAAGGCAGGGGTGTTGCAATCCTGTGGCTTTAGGAAATAGTCTTAAAAGGTTCACTTGGTTCAATATGCAGGAATAATCTGTTCATCTACCTTTTGGGGGGGCCATGATTATAGGAAGTGGTAAAATAATTTAACTGTTGGGCTGCTCAGCAAATCACCTAGGTATTCACATATTTGTTATGCTCTGGGTAATTTTAGGACTGTGTTTAGAATAAACAGTTTGAATTAGCAACCTGCCAAGGAACCAAACCTGTAATTATAATCAGGCAGATGTCCATATTCTCTGAGGAAAAATGTAGCAAGAAAGCCTTTGTATATGTTTCTATAGCTTCCTCTCTGCCTGAGCTTCTCACTACTCTTTGCCAGCCAGACATGTTATGTAAAGGGCCATGCCTTGCTGATCCAAAAAATAAAAGAATAGAAAAAATTCTCTTTAATTTGATTTGGACCCCACTGATTCCAAAGGAACAAGAATCCAAATCTAGTAAATGTGAATCCAGTGATATTGCTTATGCCCATATTGCTAGAAAAGGAAAAGACAGGGTAAATGAACTACAGAGTCACGTAAATGCCAGAACAGTAGGCCTAACGTGATAAAGTGAAGTTTGATAGGAATAAAAGAACTTTCAACTTCGGCCCAAAATACTAACATGCAGACAGAATGGAGTCGCTGTAATAGAAATAACACGTGAAAATGTCTAGTGGTTTAAAGCAAGGAATTTCAATAAAGGTTAACAAACAGTGCTGTGTGTTAACTACAACAAGTTAAAGAAATTGTAGGCTGTGTTAATAGAGGCTTGGTATCTAGAAAAAGGGAGGTGACATTTCTGTTCTATTCTGGTGACTATGTGATAGCTTCCAATGACTCTAATGGTGACTCTTAATCCTTTAAGATTACATTCATATAGATGACCACATTGTAAGAGGCCCATAGACAAATTGGAGCATGTTCAAGGGGCAGTCACTCAAACAGAAAGACTACTTGAAATCCCTTCAATGATTGATTAAAGGATTATAGATTAGTTTGGAAGAGAGAAGATGGAGGTGTGGATGGTGGCTTTTCATCATAGAGTCAAGGAAGAGTCTTGGGGAAGAAGGATTTATTCCATGGCCCCCCGATGCTGAAGCCAAATGGGGAGAGCCTCAGGGAGACCAATCTTAGCTTCACCTAATCATATAAAGGTGCATGGAGGTGCAATAGACTATCTCAGGAAACGCCTCCATGTCCTTGGGGGGGGTGTTCAGAAATAACATCTAAACCTTTTGATAGGGATGTACAAGGATTCCAACAGCCAATGGAAGCTTGGATTATATGATTTTTCATATTTTTTTTCAATCCCAATACTTTTTGATTTTAATGAATACAGTCATCCTTTGGTATCCACAGGGGATTGGTTCCAGGACCCCCTACAGATACCCAAATCAGTGAATGCTCAAGTCCTTTTTTATATAAGATGGCGTAGTATTTGCATATAATTTGTGCACATCCTCCCATATACTTTAAATCATCTCTAGATTACTTATAATACCTAATACAATGTAAATGCTATGTAAATAGTTGTCATACTTTATTTTTATTTTTTATTTTGTTATATTGTTATTTTTTATTGTTATATTGTTATTTTTTATTGTTTTCTTCTTTTCAAATATTTTTGACCTGCGGGTGGTTGAATCTATGGATGTGGAACCCATGAATTTGGAGGGCTGACTATACAAGAATTAATTTCAAAAAGCATGTAACTTTATGGATGCTCAGGGTGAAGTTTACCTCTCTACTACTGGGACTTGCTAAGCAAATTGTATCAGCAGGTCCACAGATGTGGCATGTTTAATAAGCTGTCTTGGGAGATAGGGATTCTATCTTAAGTCGGTTCCCCAGAAGCAGAGCTGAGATGAGGAATCCTGTGCAAGGGACATGTTAAGAAAGTGCTCCCAACGGAAGCTGGCAAGTGGGAGGAGATGAACATGGAGGAGGAGAAAGCCAGGCAGAGTGAGATCTCCGGCACAGTTCTTCAGAGTATGGCTTCAGCCTGGTCCCACGGTGGAGCGCTGGAATATAGATTAGACCTTGGAGTTATCCCAATCTGTTAAGGGCTGTCCTGGGGGAATGCAAACTCCAGGGCACTTCCATTTCTCTGTATAGGCAGGGACCTGAATGCAAACTTCATGAGAAGAAAGTAAAGGACAGGCTCGAAGACTATTGCCTGGGATGCTGTGAAGGGCACCTCAAAGGAGCCACCCACCTCTGTGATACACTGATGCTCTAGAAAAGGATTCAGCTCTCAGGCCCCCTGCTGTGGTCCTTGATCAGGGAACAGGACCAGAAAGGTGAAGAGGATCCAGAAGAAGTGAATTCTGAGCATCTTGAGAAATAAGCCAAGAGGGCATTTAACTCATCTAATGAAAGCAGCCACTGAGCAGTGGCTGGCAAACAATTTAATTAATCCTTAAAACCCTCGGCAGGTACTGTAAAGCTGCCTAGCTCATGCTCAGTCGGTATTTACAAAGATTCTTATCTATTCATTAGAAAAGATAAAATGATGATTAGATTTTCCACTTGCTGGCAACAAAAGTTTAAAGGATAAATATTACATTTCAGGGCTTACACTCTAGACACTTTAAAAGTTCAGGCAGTGTGCCTCTTCCCAACACCCTCTCTACCCTTTAACCTAAATGAACGAGATATTTCTGTAATAAAAAAAGAATGACCAAGGGTGCCTTAATTTTGTCCCACCTAATGTTCAGCTCTGTATTTTGTAACCTCAAAACCTGCAATTCAGATTGTGGTTGGTCTAAGATTGGAAGTTTCCCTACCTCACTGTAATAACACTAGAAAAATTTTTGTATCTGTGAGCAAATTTCAAAAAATTTTGCAACACGATCGGTTTGGCAACTTCTCCTCCACAGGTTTCTTGCAGAATATAGCATAAAGGTGAATAGGATTATAAAAGGGTAAGCTTTAGCCCATGTAAAATTAGTATTATCACTTTTTGAGGCACAGAATGGCCCTATGACCTGTCCAAGGTACACAGTAAATTGGTGTCAGAGCTAGGAAGAGAAAGTTTGTTTTGGATGCCCCGCATGGTCAACTGCCTGTTGAGTTGGTCTTGGCTCTGACTCCCTTCCTTTCCCTTGTAGACATTCCAAAACCATCCCTCATGGAAGCACAGCCCTCTGAGAAGCTCATTGAGTTTCCAGTGGTAACCATGGGTTTAATTTTCCCGTTGTGCAATGTCTTAAAGATAAATGTGATGGAAGAAAACATTGGTGCTGCAACCTACATCTTAACCATGTCCTTCATCAAAATACATTGTGTTTTGGCTTTTGATTTTGTTTACTGAGACAGAGTGATAATCTTTCTTAAAGGGTCAGTACAGTAAAATTACCTTCCGGACGCCTCTCTATCTTGGTGGGGCTCCCAGCGCTTACTGGTTGGTCAGAGCAACAGGAACAAATCGAGGCTTTCAAGGCTGTGTGCAGTTGCTTGCTATTAATGGGAAGAGAATCGACATGAGGCCCTGGCCACTGGGAAAAGCACTCAGCGGGGCTGATGTAGGTAAGTGTCTACCCAGTGGGTCGGGGTGCTCTTGTGGGATTGCCCTTCTGGCTTGGGCCAGAGAGGTGAGCAGCAACATCAGTTGTAATCCAGGGAAGCTGGTTGATGCAGAACTTCAGGAGGGAGGTGAGCCCAAAGTGTGAGATTGGTGCTCTGCAGAAATGTTGACCCTGAGTCTGAACAGCAGATATGGTCCCAGTATGGTACACCACACCCTTGGTTGTGTCCTGCTGCCATCTGGGACCTCTTCATCAAATATGGCATGGTGTCACTGGACAAAGCAACAAGCAATCCAGCCCTTTCACCCTACCTCGCCAGCCCAGTGGAAAAGCTAACACAATAATGTGAAAAGAGCTTTTGTACTCTCTGCTTCTAAGAGAAATAGTCAAATTCTAATTCTTGATCGCTGCGCCAAACATTTTCTTATCTGCCTTCCCATTTACTCCTCACACTAACTCCAGGAGATAGAAATTATTATACTCATTTTATAGCAAAGAAACTGGGAGCTTATAGAAGTTAAATAACTTGTCCAAAATAGCAGGCAGAGCTGAGATTGTTTTTAAAGCACTAAGGATGTTTATTCTCTCACAGGAGACAGTAGGTAGATAATTCCAAGGTTGGTTAATTCAATGACTGCCTTAGTCGGCTAGAGCTGCCATAACAAATTACCACAGACTGGGTGGCTTAAATGTCAGAAATACACTTTTTCATGGTTCTGGATGCTGGAAGTCTGAGATCAAGGTGTTGGCAGGGTTGGTTTCTCCTGCGGCCTCTCTCCTTGGCTGGCAGATGGCTGCTGCCTTCTCACTGTGTCCTCACATGGTCTTTCCTCCGTGTGTGCATGCCCTCTGTGTCTCTCTGTGCGTCCACATTTCCTCTTCGAATAGGGGCATTGGTCAGACTGAATTAGGGCCCTACTCTTAATTTAATATTAACATTTAACATTAATTACCTCCCTAAAAACCCTATGTCCAAATATGGTTACCTTGGGCATTGGAACTTCAACCTGTAAATTTTGGGGGACACAGTTCAGTCCATAACAGTGACTCAGTGATATCAGAGCTTGGGTTGGTGTCTCTGTGCATCTCTTGCTTTTCACCCACAATTCTAAGCGTAATTGCCTCACACGACATTGGCAGGACTGGCGAGTCCCTTTCCTGTGTCTCTTTTCCCTCCAACTCCAAGATGTTACTTTGAAAGAAGGCAAAGTTTAACACCATAGACCCACTACCCAGACTCTATCATTAGCGTTTTGCTACATTCGCTTTACCACGTATGGATCCATCCCTCCATCCATCCCTCAGCAGAGCTAGGATTCGCTCTTTATGACCCTAGGTACAGTTTTTGTTTTGTTTGATTTGTAGCTAATATTAGTTGAGCACCTACTATATGTAGGCATTGTCTAAACTACTTTAACCTTACATCTTCCCCAAATTCCCATGAAGTAGTTGCTATCATTAGCCTTAGTGTATGGAAGAGAACTAATGGTACAGAACAGTAAAGTAAAGTAACTTGCCCAGGTCACACAGCTAGTAAGTGGTAGGGCCTATATGTGACCTCAGCTATTCTGGCTCCATTGCCTGCCCTTTTAACCAAATCCACTACAGCAGAGGCTCCCAAATCGGCCTCAAATTGCTTTCCTCCAATTTGCTCACTCCTAAAGGTGATGCCATCGTGAAAACTACAAAAGATGAAATTTACTTAAAAGAAAAAGATTACTATCCATATGTGCTAATTTTTTCCCAATTGATCAAAGCAAACAGTAAGCAGCAATGACTAAAACAATTATTAAAGCTCCCACTATGGTAGGACAATGTCTCCAAAATCCTTCTTGGATATCTGATGATTCAGAAGAACCAGCAGTTCCATCAGGAGTTTCACGTGATGTTTATGAGCCTGGACTCTGATGGCAGATTGCCTGGATGTGACAAATCAGTTAACCTGTTTGCATCTCAGTTTTTCCATCTAAAAGTAGGACCTACCTCATAAGATTATTTTGTTTAAATGAATTGCAGTGCATTAAAAGTAGTTAGGATAGGGCCTTGCACATAGAAAACTCATTGTAAGTATTTCCTATTATTAATATTTTAGTATTCTGACTCCACCCAGCAAGCCAGCTAGAATTTATTTCTTCAGGGAAACAGCCCTGAAGGACAGATCTCAAGGCTGTATGGTATCCTCTGACAGGTAGTTCAGAAATTGCAAAGTTGAGCAAGAATTGATTTCTGCCAGCTTTTTATTTATTTATTTTTGGGTGGCTGGTCAGTACAGGAATCGAACCCTGGACCTTGGTGTTATCAGCACCACACTCTAACCAAGTTAACTGGCCAGCCCTCTGCCAGCTTTTGAAATTCTCGTATGTGTGATACTAACTCCTCTGTTGAGCAGGTGGCACCAAAAGCACCTACCTTGCTGGCTCCGGCTCCCAGGACATAGCTATAGCACTGTTAGATTTCTCTCCAGGAACCTTAATGGCAGGCGTCATTCATGTTGCTCTGTCATTTCTTCCCATTTTCCCCTGGGGTACCCGAGCAGGCTTGTTATCTTTCTTCAGCTTCCATATTTGCTTTCTTTTAAGTTAGTTCTCCTGAAATTCAAGTTTTTGTAAGTCAAATACAGTCTCATTATGGGGGTCATGGCTCCTCCATCTGATACCTCCAATGACATGACTTTTTCTCTATCCCACCTCCCCTCCCCCCCACACCTGTTTTCACTCTTGAGAGGAACTTTCATTACTCAGCTGCTTCCATTTCATCTCTTATGTCCTTCCATTTCATCTCTCATCTCTTCATGAGGCTGTTCCAAGCTACTGGACTCTGCAAGTCACACTCTAGAACAATCAGCAATCTCGGCAAACTTTTGCATTCTCTGGCCCAGCCTTTTCATTTATCTTTTCCATCCAAATTCTTAAACACAAACTGCCACCACTCATTTTTTCCAATCCTGTCTTGGATCTCCACACCCTGCTGAAGCAATGTCATAGAGTCAGCGTCCCAAGTTATTCCAGATTCAAGTGGTCTGCGGGGGCCAGGGGTCTCACTGTGGCTTATCAACTCTTTTACTCATTCTTTCACTCAATAGATACTTACTTGAGCACCTGCTTAGTGCTAGTCCCAATGCTGGGTGCTGGAGATAAAGTAATAAACAATCAGACAGGATCTCAGCCCAGCCCCCAAGTAGCTGCATGAGGAGGGACCAAATTAACCAAAGAGTCACACAAGTAGATATAAAATTACAATTGGGGGTTAGTGTTAAAAAGGAAAAGTGATGGTGCAGCGATAGCATATAATACAGAGATTTTGTGGTCTGGGGGTCAGGGACAGCGTTTCTGAAGAAGTAAGTATGAGCGAGAGCAGGAGTCAAAAGGTGGAGAAGAGAGGGAAAGGCATTCCAGGCAGAGGAAGTGGCTTGTTCCTGTAGGAGAGGAGGGGATGGGTACCATGATCCAGTTTGTGTTTTGAAAAGCTCCTCTGGCTGTGGACAGCTCACTGGAAGGGGTATTGAGGGCTACGTGTAGACCAGCCGAGAGTCTGCTGCAGCAGTCCAGATGACAGGTGAGGAGGGTCTGATCCAGGTGGTAGTGGCAGTAGACGCAGAGACTGATCTGACACATCTTAAGGGGAAAATCGGATAGGTCTTTGTTATGGACTGGGGGGGGGGGACAGGGAGGTTGCTCCTGGTCTCCTTAGCATGCTCCACCCAATGATGTTCCACCTTCTTTTCCCTCCTTAGGAGTCTTATTTCACCTCTGCCCCTCACTTCGTTATCCAGCGTACGCTTACACAACAGCTGGCATACAGTAGGTGTCAGTAAGTTACTTTATATGTGGAGGATGAGGTCCATCCAGCTCTGTATGGGCATGACCTTGTAACCACACTGTCCTCCATCCCAATCTCAGAGTTGAAAGTCTTCCTCCTCTCTAAACCTAACCTGTCCATCTGCCCTCTGCACCCACCCTTCCCTGCTCCCCTGGGACCTTGCTGCTAGGATTCTCTCAATAGCCCAAGGGTTCTTGACCTTTCTGGTGCCCCAGAGCCCTTTCACAGTCTGGTGACGCCTCTGGACCTCTTGTCAGAATGATGGTTTTAAACACAAAATAATAAACATATTATTATAAGGGGAAACAATTATACTGAAATACAGACAAAATATTTTTAAAGTTTTGATATTATGATAATATATGTGCTTCTTTGTAAAACATGAAGGAACAGGGTTATTTAATGGTGGGTGAAACAACTACTATGATTTCAAAGTAGCAACAAGTGTAAATGGCATTTCGAGATATCTGCAACAAACCGAATGCACACAGCTGTAAGCTCTTCTGGTCACAAGTCACAAAACTGCTAATGCTAGAATGTGTTGCCTGCATTCTTAGTTGCAGGAAATACCACTTCCAGTCAGTGCTTAGGGAAGCGAAGGTGTAGCATTTTCTCTCCAAGCTCACACACGCTGCTGCAGCTAATCCCCACCTGCTGGGTCCTTTCCAGCTTGAGCAAGCACCAGGCCGTGCACAACCCTGCTCCCCTCTGGTTTGAGGACCTGGGAGCCTCTCTCCTTTCTTTCGAGGCCCGATTCCGGCAGTGGATATTTCTGCAGTCATCTCACACTTAGGTTGAGCCAAAGTGAGCTCCTGCTCTGCTTCCCAGAGGCCAGTCCTGTGCGCAGCCCCCACTTTTTCCCTCAGCCCCCCACACTGCACACCTCAAGATCGCGCTGGAGTCGTCTTCCACCTCCGATCTCTAGAATGAATCTCTTCTTTCTCCTCTCCCTGGGACTCTCTCATTCCTCACATTCTCCTGTTTCCTTTGCTGTCACTCTGTCCAGTCCCTGTAGGATTTCTTTCCTTTCTCCTACCGTCATTCGTCAATCCATGTCACGAGCCACCGTGGTCATCTCCCTGAGACACTGCTTTCATCAAGTCACAACTCTGGCTGGCTTTCATGACCTCCCTCCTCCACCTCATTCCCACCTCTTAAATAAATAGTTATAATATAAACTAATTTAAACAATCTAATAATTTAATAATTTAAAGCAATTTCTTCCATGTGAATCTAAAATAACCTGAGGACCCCTCTTCTCCTTGTGGAACCAGCACTTCTCTGAGAAAGAATCTCAACCCACAGGAATTGGTGGGGCATGGGGACCTGGTAGAGTTTGGCTAAGACCAAAGTCAGATCTCTGTGGAGACTGTGACTGCTGGGGGTACTATCCTTAGGGCTGTGGCTAAAGAGACTACCGGTCACTTTTGCCTGAACTTCCAGCAGCTGCCGGCTGGAATTTGCAGGGAGGTGAATCCAGCTGGGGTGGCAAGCCACCTGGAAGGGCTTTAGCTAAATTCTGTTATCAGTCCCTGAAGTGAATCTCTTCTCCTGGTGACACACAGAGTGCCCAGCCCTTCTTCCTCCTCTCAATGAGTCTTTACAAAAAGAAAATGTGGATCAGTCCAACCAATGCAGATGACTGATGGGGAAAGGATAAGAGACTCACCCTGCTGAGATGACACTATCAGTCCAAGGAGGGCTCTTCTCACAGAGGGTAGGGCTACAAGCTCATGCAGGTACAGCATTGGAGATGGGGGAGACGGGACACACCTGGACCCTTCACTTCACAACCCAATTATAGACTCGCCGCCTTTGCCTCCAGCCCCAGAAAAATTGCTTTGTACTCACCTGTGTGGTTCTGAGCCAAATTGTGGTCTGTCTAACTTATTTCTTAAACACAAAGAGAAAAGAAAAACCAAAGAAGAGCAAGAAAAGCAGCCCAGGAAAAGTCCATTTGTTTTCACTTCATCTGATGATCTGCATTTGAACATGACAAAGTATACCCTCTGGGGAGCCCTCTGATGTGTTTGGTAAAGAACTAACCCATCTGATGTTGAACCTTTCAGCACCTTTTGCTCCAGGGCGTCCACCTTCCTGTCCCTCACAAGACTGTGACTTTGGAGGTAGAAATAGGGATTCTAGCACTGGCATGCTAAGGTGTTAGGACGCCCTCTCTCCTGCCTCCCTGCCCCAGACAGAAGAGTCGACAATTTGGGCGAGTTAATGAGCTTAGATACAGCTGCTTAACTCCTTCAGTGCTTACCTCGCTGTCTCCACTCTGAACCAGCAAGGCAGCAGCACTTAAGCTAATTGGGGTCACACAAATTAGAATGCTTTTAACATAAACACTCTGCTGACATTGGAGGGATTGAAATACACTCTTGTGGGAACAGAGAGATGAATTAAAGTAGAAGCAACTCAGCCATTCTGGTCAGTGGTTATAAAGTTGCCCAGCGATTTATTATTGATTTATTGTGTCCATCATGTTTATAAAAGTGTCTGTGGCTCTTCATAAAGGACAAGCCAAAATCAAATTAAAATGAAGAGAAGGCTCCTGAAAGCTGATTTGCAGTTGTGCAGAGGTGCACATCAACAGGAGTTGGGACCAAACTGTATTTATTGGGAACTCTGAGCGTGATCAGCTCCATGGTGCGGGACTGGCACGCCGGCGGGCTGGCTTTGTAATTCCCATTCTGTGTTTAGGGGAATGCAGCAGTGGGATCTGTGACGAGGCCTCATGCATCAACGGCGGCACCTGCACAGCAAGCAAAGCCGACTCCTACATTTGCCTCTGTCCCCTTGGGTTTAAAGGGCGACACTGTGAAGACGGTGAGAAAGAAGCAAGTTGATGGTGGTTTCTATCTGCACGTTAATTCATGGGGATGTAATTTTTCATCAGTGTCCTGTTAGCAACACCCCATGAATTTTTATGGGATCAATGTTACTTTGTTGGGAGGGATGAGAGAATCTCTTTTTTATCAGGGTGAAGTGTTTCCCAGTGCCAAAGTTTTGAACCAGCCAAAGATATGTTTATCTTAAGATGCTAAGCATGGGTGGGCTCCTCGTAGTCCTCAAATAGCTTTTAAAAAGCCTGTATTTGTGTGATTTGTATCAGACTGAATTTAAACCATTTAAAGCTCATGCATTTTAGAATATTTGACAGTTTCAAAAAAAAGATTGGGAAGGTATACATAGAAACATTAACAATGTGATGGGACAAAAGTCATCTTGTTTTTTCTTTTTACTGTTCTGCTGAATTATTCACCCCTCAATACTATATATATATATAGATTATGTAAATATATATATATGCACATGTATATATACATGTAAACACACATGCACACACAAACACATATGTGCACACAAACACACACAACTAATTACTGAAAATTTAAAGATTTTGGAAAACCATGCAGGGTTGAACATGCTTTAATTTTTTCACAATTCCAAAATTAAAAACAAAACAAAAGAAAATTGAGGCTAAGACCACAAAGCTAGTCAAATTCTTCCATGAGTGATTTAGATTTTGACCTAAGGTACCATACTGGGGGAAATTTTTGTAACATTATAAGCTTAAATCTCATGCCACCTAGAAGAGGGCGGATGAGTCAGGGTAAGCCAATGCTGTTAACATACCATCTCGTATTTCAGTAGCCTTACATAATAAAAGCTGAGTCTTGCTCACATCATAAATCACTGCAGGTCATGCAGTCATCCTGTGACACAGGCCTCTGCCATCTAGTGGCTCTTCTAGGGCCTTAGAGTCCTCCGCTGACTTCTGCATTGAATCTGCAGGTGAGAGAAGAGAGAAAGCGCATAGAGGATGAAGGGAAGTTTTAGGGGCCAGACCTGGGGGCTGTATAATTTTTTCCACCCCCGATCCACTGGCCAGATTTCAGTCACACCATCCACTAACTGTAAGGCGGCTGGAAAATGTAGTTTAGGTCTGTGCCCGGGAGGAAAAGAACACAGCTATGGTTGCACAACTAGCCAGTGCCTGACACAGAGCGATTTCTAATACCATGCTTATTTCTTCAGCCTTCACCTTGACAATTCCCCAATTCAGAGAGTCTCTGAGATCCTACGCCACAACGCCCTGGCCACTGGAGCCCCAGCATTACCTTTCCTTCATGGAGTTTGAGATCACCTTTCGGCCAGACTCGGGAGATGGTGTCCTCCTATACAGCTATGACACAGGCAGCAAAGACTTCCTGTCCATCATCATGGCAGGGGGCCACGTGGAGTTCCGCTTTGACTGTGGCTCTGGGACTGGCATTCTCAGGTGAGAGCTGTGACCTTCTGGAACTCCCTTCCCCCAAAAGCCAAGCAGTAACCACTTTGGAAAAGGACCAAATTGCCATCCAGTAGCTTACACTCTTCCTGAACTCCCTACGTAGTTATCTTCTGAAACCTGTTCTGCTTCATACAGATGACAGGCCTCCTATAGATACTGCTCTTGCGCCCTCAACAAATAACTAGCCAGCAGGCAGCAATTCTCTGCTTGAAACTGTGGAAAATGGGCTTGCTTCAGGTGAGAGTCAATAATGCCCTCAGCAGAAACTTGATGAATTGTAGCTAATCAGCACCTTACACAGAGCATCACACATGGTGGGCATTCGACAAATCTATGTCAACTAGTAAAAAAGTGTTAAAAAATACTTAATGAACAGAAATGTCTGTAGTGACCTCATTTAAAATTTTAACTTTCCTCTTGAACTATTCCTTTGCTAGTTATTTAGCAAGTCTCTTACCTATTCCCTGACCAATGCGGATGGAGGATGAGTGGTTTCAATAGCGGGACAGTAAATGGGTGCTTTAAAAGTTCTTGCTGGTATTTGCAGAATTGGTCTCAGTAGTCAAAACTTTGCCCCTGTTATCTAGTTTGTACTATTAAGTTACTTATCAGATCTATCGCTCCTGTACAGTGAGGCAGTAGCTTTTTGAATCCCTTGGAGCCTGAGGTTGGCAGGTGCAGATGTTTTTCTTGTTTGTTTATGTCTCCCTTTTCTAACTGTGTTCCTCTCATGGTAATGTTAACCTTCAAGCCAGAGGGCCACTAATCAAATGCAGACACGCTTGTTGTTCCTACATCTGTCTAATTCTTTTCTTTTGAAACTTACTAGAATGTTTTGCTCAATGGTGCCCAGTTAGTCTGCTGTTTTAAAATAAATTACAGGATGTGTTCAATCACTAGTCATACTGCTAGATTGTCATATTTAGAGAATGTGGGTGAGATGTTACAAGCATGCATTGCTCTTGACTACTGATCATTTTTCATGGCTAATGGGAGTGCTCACTGCATTAGGTTTCAACAATTCTTAGAAGGACGGTTTGTGTTTGTCCTTGTGGCTGAATTCCTACACGTCAGTGACACCTCCCACCTTGGGGACTGGACAAACATTTTTGTACCTCTGGTTATGCAAAAATATCCTATATCTCAAGACAACTTTCCTCGGTATTTAATTGATTCAATTTGCATATGATTATGCAAAACAGTCTAGCAATTCACTTAGCACTATATGTCAAGTTGTGAAAGGAAGACACCTTGAATATCACCTTGCACTTTCAAATAGCTTCTTCCTGGATAAGGAATGACCAGAAAGAGCCAGGGGAGGGTCAGGGCTCATCAGCTCTCCTCTTGAACAGATTGCCCCTGCTACCCTGCCCCTCTGCAGTGGCAGCTCCTGCTGTGGGGTCACAGGCACAGAGGACCCTTAGAAGTTCAGCATTTCTCTCTTTTGTAACTCTGTGCCTATTTTTGACAAGAGGTGTTTTTAATTTTTTTAAAACATAAGTTATTATTTCTCTGCCTGTCAGGAAAGGTGACTGGAAAAAGAATTCTTGAGTATCAGGTGAAGAAAATGAGACAGGAGTTTCCAAGGAACAAACCACCACCTGCCCCCCTGTCCTACACTGGTGTCCCCTCAGCAGTGTAACCTGACAAGAGTAATCACTATTGGTGCTTCAGACGCCCCTTTCAAAGTTATTTATTTGAAAATCATTTCAAAGACTTCCCACCCAATTAAGAAAATTCAGTGAAAGGCTGAACTACAGGAAGTTGTGGAATTGGCCAAATCATTTTAACTTGAAAAGGATAAGGTGATCAAATTCATTATAAACTTGATTCAAAAATCGAGACACTTGGAATGAGCTCTTGATGGGTGTGATCGATTTAACTGTGCTGAGGAAGGCAGGGTATTGACAGCAGGTGACTTCTGCAAGACAAGAACACAACCACGGGGCTGTTGGTTATTACGGAGGTGATCACTTAAAAAAGGGCCGCTTGTTTCTTTATTGCATATTGATTTAGCTGAGGTGATTAAATTCTAATTGCCAAAGACGAATCACAAAAGCATTTGCCAGAGCAAAAAAAATCAAATGAGGGGGAGGTGACCTTCCAATAATTGTGCCCATTGGTATTCTTCATGGTTTCCTAAAGATGATCCAGGACCGAAAAATAATTGGGAGGATCAGGGAGGGCCAGGAACTAGGCACTGCTAGAAATACAAATGCAATAATGCTACTCTTTTTGCACACCTCACTATAAAATGTAATGTGTAAAATTCCAATAAATATTATTTAAACTTCAGGTGCTTCTACCTTGAATTAACAATTAAAATTTTAAAATAATTTTAATCCTTTTCACAATATTAGAAACCATAGAATCTGTTCCTCCCCAGCATTTTATTATGAAAAATTTTAAAGAAAAGTTGAAAGAATTGTACAGTAAACATTCTTATATCCACCAGCTATAGTATATAATTAATGTTTTGCTATATTTGCTTTATCACATACCTAGCCATCCTTATATCCATCTATTCATCCATCCATCTAGCTTTCTTTCTTCTTTTTATGTACTTCAGAAGACGTTGCAGACATCAGTACACCTAGGAATGTTTTTTTTACACCATAGCCTATATAATTATTTTCTCTTTTTCAAAGCTTGTGCACCATTAGGATTATATTTTATCCTCATGCCACCCCTCATAAAACCAGATTCACTGTGCCCACATTTCAGGTTTGTTGTAAGAAATAAACAAAACGATAAATGCAATGCCCCTACCATGAAGCGTTTCATTAAATGGCAGCTAGTACTGCTACTGTTGCTAAGCTGGAATTATTGTTTCCCTTTTACTGAATGGATTGAGGTGCCTAAGGTTAGTATCAGTTTCATCATAGCTAGATTGATGAAAATTATCCATAACATGCTAACATACGCTCGGTTTCCTTCTATATTTTTTCTCCAGGAAAAAATAGTACCAGTAGGCTGTATATAGAAGGCTGGCTGGTTACCTCAGTTGGTTAGAATGTAGCCTTGTAACACCAAGTCACGGGTTTGGATTCCCATACCAGCCAGCTGCCAAAAAAAAAAAAAAAAAAAACCAACATAGATATCATGAGGGATTGGTTCATATGATTATGGAGACTGAGAAGTCCCATCATCTGTCTCCTGCAAACTGGAGGCCCAGGAAAGCTGGTGATGTAGTTGCAGTCCAAGCCCAAAGGCCTGAGAGCCAGGGGAGCCAATCCTGTAAGTCCAAGTCCAAGTTCAAAGGCTTGAGAATCAGAAGGCTGATTGTATAAGTTTGAAGACCCAAGAACTAGAAGTGCCAATGTCTAAGGGCAAGAGAAGATGGACATCCCAGCCCATTCTTTTGCAGAGAGAGCAAATTCACCCTGTTTTTCTTCTATTCAGACCCTATAGCAGACTGGATGATTCCAATCCTGGACATCTTTTTTACTCAGTCTGCCAGTCCAAATGCTAATCTCTTCCAGAAACATCCTTACTGACACATCCAGAAATAATGTTTTACCAGCTACCTGGGTATCCCTTAGCCCAGTCAAGTTAACACATAAAATTAACATCACATCTTCCTTCAATAGGAGTGAAGATTCCCTGACCCTGGGCCACTGGCATGAGCTGCATGTATCTCGCACTGCGAAGAACGGTATCCTACAGGTGGATAAGCAGAAGGTAGTAGAAGGAATGGCAGAGGTAAGAACACAGCTTTCCCCTTGATGGTTAGTGTGAACTGGGTTACTATTTTCTACTTATCTTGGTAGAAAAACAACACAGTATAGTGGTTAAGCATATGGACTCCACTGCCTGGGTTGAAATTCCAGCTCCCCAGGGGGAAAGTTACTTTTCTATTCCTCAGCTATAAGGGGGGATAGTACTGGCCATATAGGGTAGTTGTAGGGATTAAGTGAGTTAATATTTAATAAGCACAGCATTTCAAAAATTTCCTTCCACCCCCTTCACTCACAGTCTCTACTTTGTTCTTGGCAGTATAATGTAGTAGGGAGGAACACAGACACTGTGGTAGGGCCAGTGGTATAGAGGTGTCACATCCAACAAGAGCAAATTGTAAAACCAAACTCTTGGGGTTCAAACTCTAGCTCCCCTATGTACCAGTTGTGCAAGCTCATGCCAGCTGCTGGACCTCCCCAGTGTGTGTTTTCTCATCTCACCACTGTCCTCAACAGGTATAATAGTGATGGCAACAGTACCTACTTCATAAAGTTGTTATATGAATTAAAATAATTATATATGAGGGTACTTCAAAAAGTTCATGGAAAAACAGAATTAAAAGATAATGCAAATCTTTCCATGAACTTTTTGAAGACCCCTTGTATATAAAACATTACAGTACCTCACACATGGTCAGGTCTGTGAAGTTTTAGTTACTACAGTTAGTTAATAGTGTACTATCATGGACTCAAGAACACAGAATTTCTACTCAAGTTTGTAACTTTCATCCATGATTTTATTACCAAGAGCATGTCCAAAAAAATTAAAAGCTTTTTTAAAAGGTGATAAGATTTCATTCAAACTATAACCTATTTGGATTCTGTACACACACAAAATTTACAGACCCCTAAAAAGAGAGGGAACTTTGGATTTTCCATCTGAATTTTCAAGTCTTTATTTGTGCAAAGAGATTTAAAGAGATCATTGACGAATTTGGTTATACTGATAAGCTCATGGATTGGTAGAACATAGAAAAAGAAGAAAAAGAGACCTTTGCTGGGGAAAGAGGTATTCGGTTGAGGAGGAGAAAAGAAAGAACACACACGCTGCAGGGATGGCAGTGGTGGAAGGGTCTGCTGGAACCAAGGACTTGCTCGGGAATGAGACAATCCCAAACTGAGTTCTGCTTCAAGAGGTGAGAACTCTTCACACCTAGAAAATGCTCCCTATGTATAGTGGAAGGAAGGAAAAATGGAAGGAAGAAAGGAAGGAATATGGATGAAGGGAAATTGTTTTTAAAGAGAGAGCTGGAGTCTTTTCTGGTATAATCCAGAGAATCCTAATAGCTGACTTTTGTCCAAAATGGAATTAGAAGTTCACAAGTATAGACCTGACTGTATGTTGGCTTAATCATACAAATTCAAAAAAGTATTACATATCTCTCTAGACCTTACTTACAATCATCTGTAAAACTGGAACAAAAGCTTAAGATGGGAGTGTTTGTAAACAGTAGGATTAAAGTCTTTGATTATAAGTGAGGAACTTTTCAGGACACAGTATTTACCATTAGGATCTAAGACAATGCAGAGGTATAAACCGTACCTCAGAGTTCCTATCACTCCGTGTCAGCAAATGAAAATCAATCCAACCTGGCAGAGCCAGTGCCCTCCCTTTTGGCCTTCTGAACTGTGTGTGGGTGCACGGAGCCGCCCACCTGGAAAGCCTTGGGAACATGGGGGAAGGTGTAGTTGGGCTGTGCATTTGGGGAAGTTATATGGAGGCTGCTGTGAGCCAGGAGTGGGAAGTCCCGATGCTTGATCTCAGTGAGTTGAACCTTAACCAAGTCTCCTCCCACAAGGAATTCTGTTCCCCACCTGTGCACACCATGTTCAATGCATGGCTGACAGGGACAGTGCTTAGAGCTTGGAGACAGGTGGGGCAGAAATTAGAGTACACTCTGGGGGCTAACCCAGGACGTAGGCACCTAATAGCCTGTGTCCACACTAAACCTGCCCCCCAGACTACTCAGCCGACAGCGCCAAGAAATACCAAGAGCCTGGGGTAGAGCCCAGCTATGCAAGACTCAGAGAAGGGCCAGTGCTTCTGAGGGCTTCAAAAACCCCAGCCCGGGGGTTTGCTCAGCCTTTCAAACTGCTTCTAGCTGAGCAGGAGTAGCAGATCCAAACACAAAGCACCTCACTTTGGAGCAGACCTCACTTGGTGGGGTCTCTCTGCTTCTCTCCTGCGGTGCCTCATGCATGTGGCAGTGGCAGCCCTGCCTCTTGTTAGCAGGCAGGTGGCAGGGGAGGATTCTGATGAGCAGCCAGAAGGAACCGGCTCTCACCCATTTGCTGGACACAAGCATAACTCAAGAGTTTTTTCAAAACAGCCTGCTGCTCTGAAACCCCTGTGACCCTGCAGCCTTCCTCCTTTCTCTTATTATCTTACTTTAACTTTGGGGTAAGAGCAAAGACAAGGCAGAGATGCCTGTGGGTTTGTGGGGACAGTTCCTGCCTGGTTCAGTATTCTGCTGGGCCACAAGAATTCCTGAAAGCCTTCTGCTTCTTTAATGACCTCCCGGGAGTTGCATAAGAACCCTTGAAACTGCCGGAAGGTTATTGACCGAAGGCAGTCTGCTCTATTAATCTCATCGAGATTGCCCTGGGCTGCCTGGCTGGACCCAGCCACTGCACGCACTCCCCTGGATAAATGGAGCATCCTTCTCTATGATCTTCCTTTCTGCTCTTCTCCACTTCCAATCCAACCCCAAATGCGTTCCTCTCCCCCTGGGCAATGATCTTCCTAAAACACAGATCTCTCTCTCTCCTGCTAAAACCCATTGCTTTTTGGGTAAGGTTCAAACTCCTGACATGGCTTATAAGGCCCTGTGTGATCTGGCCCCTCCTTGCCTCTGCCCTGTACTTAAATTCCCTCGAAGCTCTGATTTCTTCTAGTTTCTAGAACTCTAACTCCTTTGTGACCATGTCTGGGGTAGGGCATGAGACATGCCCCCCCAGGTGTACCCGTAGTACCTGTAGAGTCCCCCCAGTGCTAATCCCACCTGCTCATTTGCTTATCTGTATTCCCCACCCATGTAAACCCCTGGAGGGCAGTCACAAGGTCTTTCTTATTTACTGTTGTTTGTCCAGCACTTAACACAGTGCCTGGGACATAGTAGGTGCCTAACAATATTTATTAAATAAATGATCAAATGTTGCTACTATTTGTATATCTTTTATCATAAATCAAATGAAACAATAACTTATGTTACCTAAAGTATGTTCATCCCCAGAGATCTCAAATTTAGGGCTCTATTTCCCAATCACGCTACACCTCCACCAATGGTTTCCTGAAGCACTAACCTGAGACCTGGGCTGAAGGAAGAGAGAGGGAGAAGAGGGCATGGTGAACCACTCCCTAGGTCTGAAAGCTTCCGCCAGAAGTGATGCATTTCTCTTCGGCTAGTATTTTATTGGCTAAATCAAGTCACATGGCCACACCTGAGCTCAACAGGTTGGAGGCCATCTTCCTGCAGGGAGGGGTACTTCCAAAGGAGCATCGAATACCAGCGGCAGTGATGCAGTCTGCCACATTCATCATGACACAGCTGTGAGGTGGATGTGATGAGTCCTACTATACAGATGAGGAAACTGAGTCTCAGAGTTTATAGTATTGTATGTGTATAGTATGGTATTCCGTGCTCCTATCTACAGATAAGGAAACCGAGTCTCAGAGAGGTTAAGAAATTCACCGACATTCAAGTAGGTGTTAAGGAGCAATGCAAAACAGTGCAAAAGTCAAGCCAATGTGTAGACAGATGTCGTGATGGGTGTTGAAACTGTCTCAACCTCTTGGTTCCCCAACAGGAGATCAAAGGCTCATTTGATAGTCATAACCATCTATTCTAAAGTTTTACTATGCTTTGTCTCCAATCTGTTGGCAGGGAGGCTTCACACAGGTCAAGTGCAACACGGACATTTTTATTGGTGGAGTCCCCAATTACGATGACGTGAAGAAGAACTCAGGCGTCGTCAGGCCGTTTAGTGGGAGCATCCAGAAGGTACAGGCTTCTCTTCCTTGTGTTTACTGTGCCACCCTGACTGCAGACCATGGAACTGAGGATTGTGATTAGTGACATCTGCTACACCCAGGAAAGAAGCTTTGAAACGTTTTAAAATTTTTCAGATTTTATTTTTTAATGCTCACAGCATAGTTTTCCAATCCCACTTGCTTATAACATTTGCTCCTTGGACCCTGCTGGGTCTAAGCCCAGCAGACATTCCATGACTGCCACTCAGTGAAGATGAATTTCTATAGCAAATCTACCAAAATATACTAGGACTGCTGAGGGAGGCACTGGCATCAGGTGGCTGCAGACACTTCCATGACTGGGAGCAGGGAGACTCATAGCAAGTCTTGGCTCTGCCTCTCTTGGCGTTACTCTGCAGTTTGCTCAAGATAAGAGCCAGCTCTCATCACCACCCCCCACACTTGAGCAGTTGTTGTTCATTAATCATGTAACCAAACTCTTAAGAGCATAAGGAGCCCTTCCCTGGAAGGTTCAGAAAACAACGCTCAGTGTAAGTTACTGGCTCCATTCGGATTTGCCTCTCATTCCTTCTCCGGGGGCTGCCTGTGATCCTGGTCACGTGCACGTGCTCCATCTGCAACAGACCAGCAGCTTGACTCATCAGCCCAGCCTGGCAGGACCACCAAACACTGGGAGAAAAAGGATCTGAAAAAATTCCTGTTCAGTTCCTAGATGTTAGCTTCATCCTGTTTTCCTTCAGTGACACATGGTGGCATGTAGGACACCGATTCTTTCTGGACCTGAAAAAGGATCGGTGGCCCATGTGTGAAGTGTGAGAGAGGCTAAGAGGAAGGAGAGACAGTGAAAGAAGGTTTAAGCATGAGTTGCACAGCCAGGCACTGGGAAGGGCCCCCGGGGCTGTGTCCTTCTCACCTGTATCTCAGTGTCAGGCCCATCAACATTTGCTGACTCATGTGTTTTCCTTTGTTTGTGATGTCAGCAACACTTGAGTGCCAACCACTGTCCCCCATGAGTGGGACTGACCATGCTTAATTGTGTGTTTGAAATTCTCACTTAGGAAGCAAGCTGAGATGCTGAGAAGCTGCGTCCCTCTGCCTGCCCTCCTCAGGCTGTGCCCCCTTCTTACAGCACACACAACCCTTCCTCCTCACCTCCAGAAAGGCCGCCCTCCCTCCCCATGGCTGAGTCACTGGCTGAGCTGGATCCTGCAACAGACGGTGCCATTGCTGTCTTGTCTTGAGCCCATTTCTTCAGCTTCACAGTGCTTCTCTTGTAGTGTGAAAGGGGAGATTACAGAAGGTTACTGGCTACTCTCTAGCAGCTTCTCAGATTCAGGAGTGGGGAAGTTTTCCCCCAGCTCTCCCAACGCTCTCCAAGGGCTACACAAGCCTTTGGGAACGTGGATTAATGGAAGGAAGTGCCATTGCTCACCTCTCCTAACCCCCTGAGCAGTGGGGGTTGCCCTGGGAGGTGTTCCCTCTGTCTCTGAGTTCTGCAAAGCCAACAACAGCTCAAAGTAAATACACATTCTGTGTCAAGGGCTGAAAAAGTTGAGTCCATTTGTTTGGGGCTGGGGAACCCAGTAACCCCTCCTCTTAAATCATCAGTTTTGCTAGAGCCACGTTGCAGGTAAAAGGGAGCAAAGGAGCTCTGTAGCCCCAGTAAATAAACACACAGTGTTACCGACGGCCAGGTTCGGCTTGCCCTCTTGCATTAAACAAATGACCTGAAACTTCAAAAGTTGATGCAAGGATTGGAAGTTTATTCAGATTACTGGTACTCAACTAAATGTCTAACCAAGCAAACAAAGAAAGAGAAAAGAGGAGCAGTGGGGTCCGGTTTAGCCTAGTCCCAATCAGCGGGGCCAACCTATTCCATTAACAGTAATTGATAACAGCAGTTCTCCCCACTGTTTTCAGCATAAAGAAGAAAAGTATCAACTAGATTTAAATCAGAAAAACAAAGCATAGCTAGGAGCCCTCCAGGGTGCACCTATACAGAAGTGGATACAATCCAGCCAAGCAGAAGAAGGCTCAGAAAATCAGAGAAAGCTAAAGAGAATAAAGCATTGCCTTGTTGGAATTTAGGCCAGGGACTCCAGGAGAGATCTACCAGCCGCAGAGACATGGGAGCAAAATAGTCCCAGTGGCCACTTGCCTCTTGCAACTGGAGTCCTCTCCGATGCCCAGAGCTTTCCAATTTTTGCCAGTGATTAAATTAGGCTCTCAGATTCCAAAATCATAGAAATGAACAATGTACCCAACAGTAAAGCAAGCAACGCTTTATTAAAAGAGGAGATAGACTTATGCATAAGGGGGTAGCAACAGTAAAGCTAGCCCCCCCCCCCCAGGGGAGCTTTTCAGGGTTTTTTTTTTTTTTTTTCCTTTTTGTCTTTTTTTGTGACCGGCAACGGGATTGCAACCCTCGGTGTCGCGCCCACACCGTGCTCAACCAGTGAGCGGACTGGTCTCTATATGGGATCCGAACCCTCAGCAGGAGCCCCGCCGCACTCCCAAGTGCTGCACTCTACCAAGTGCACCACCGGGCCGGCCCTTCAGGGTCTTTTATAGGGAAAGGAGTTAAGGGGTGGCAGGCCAGTGTCACTGGAGGTGGTCCATTCTGTTCTTCCTGGTTGCGTCATGGGCACATGTTCAGTAGGCAGTGGTGTTTATTGTTGTCACCCCAGGAGGGTCATTGTAGCAGTCACCTTGATGCTTTGTGCTGCAGGTGGGAATTCCTAAAGGGGTCTTAAGGTTAGTCTGTAACTTTTACAGTTATAGTAAACAAGCCTTGGGGAGGGGTTTTGCAACTCAGTAAACATCTGTTTCCTCTCTTATCTCAGTCTGTCAGGGCAGCCCATGGGGTAATCATTTGCCCTGGGGGATCTCATGACTGAGGAGTGAAAAAGTAACAAAGTGTCCTCTGCAGGGAAAATGGAGTCAGTTTGGTTCACAGGCCTAGCCTTACTCTGTTTCAACAGCTGTGCTCAGGATGTGGCCTCAGTGTCACTTTTTATTTATTTATTTATTTTTAGTGGTGGGGAAGGGGATGTGGAGAGGGAGGGAACTCAGAAATGTCTGGGATGGAGGGTAGCAGGAGTGAGTGGAACAATCAGGGAGGCCTGGGTGATGGAATTTTAGGAGATGACATGAGAATATTAGCCAAAAGCACCTGCAAGTAGGACAGTGAGCCTCTCCGGATTCCACAGCCACCTGTGGCCATCGCTCCCCTCTGCTTCCTGCTCCATAACACTTGGTTTTGTCTTCCCCCTACTCTGCTTTACAGCAGCCTCTCCCAACCTTGGCAGCAACTTCCCAGGTGATTCCTGGAAACTTTTGAAAGTTAGTGTCGACTGGGTCAGAGCTTCTGGTTCAATTGGTCTGAGTGGGCCTAAAGTGCCCCCAAGTGATTCTAAGGTGCTGCCAGGTGGAGAACCTGATATCTGTAGCTCCTGGGACTTCTTTACAACCTCCCTGAGTGGCGAGTCTTCCAGAACCAAAGCAGAGCTTTACTCTGCAGATTCTCCCGATGACCAAATGTAATCACTTCAGCTCCTGCAGCTCTTACGAGACTATGAAAGCAGGAACTGGACTTTTAAAAAAATTTTTACATCTCCCTCACTATGCGTAACTCAGGTTAGTGTGCTGAGGAGGACTTCTGAAGACTGCAAAAATGTTTTCTCAGTTCCGGAATTCCTTAACATTTTTTCTGTCTTAAGATCATCTTGAATGACCGAACCATCCATGTGAAACATGACTTCACGTCTGGCGTGAACGTGGAGAACGCCGCCCACCCCTGCGTCGGGGCCCCCTGCGCCCATGGGGGCAGCTGCCGGCCCAGGAAGGAGGGCTATGAGTGTGACTGTCCCTTGGGCTTCGAGGGGCTGCACTGCCAGAAAGGTACACTTGGGGGGGGGTGGGGGAGGGTGTTTAAGGCCCTGCTTCCTGGAGGGGGTGGAGGGAACAGCCTGTTGTGGGACCACCAGTCTTAGAAGAAGATTTGGTAACACTGGCACTGCCACGCTGGTTATATTGATCAATGATTTCAATACTTATTAGATGGTTAATTATACATGAACTACTATAATAAGAATTAAGTGCTGTACTACTTCTGTTAGGTTAGGTAAACAGCTTCCCCATGCCCTTCCCTGAGACTCCTTATTATCTAACAACCAAAACGTTAACCCACAGTGTAGCAGAGGTTTCCAGGACCCCTGACTCTGAGCCACTTGCACACCCTATATTGATAGATGAATGTCTTTGCTTCATAGGCTGATAAATATTTTGACTAAATATTTGGTCCCATCTGTGCCTGCAGTAAAGAGAAACCTTGCCCAATACATAAAAATACAAAGTATGCATTAGCTGCTCCAAAGTATGCGTAACTCTCTGTACGGTGCTATTTTCTATGCTACCAAATCGCTCTGTGCCTCAGTTTTCTCAGTTGCAAAATGGGAATACTAGTAACAGTAGCATCTAACAGAGGGTTATCGTGTAGACTGAATGAGGCAAAGCATGTGAAGCATTTAGAAGAGTGCCTGGTAAGGGCTCAGCCAATACTCGTCTTTGTTTTTATTGGTGAGAAAAAGAAAATCCATTAGCAGGTGCTGTGAGCTTCTCAGTCTCCATGTTGCCCTGGTCTGAAAGCTGGGCAGGTCCCAGACCATGAGTCACTGTTGGACTCACTTTCTGCACCTGCTTATGGGAACAGAGGCCATGGTCCTGGTGTCTAGAATAGTCTGCCCACTTACGTCCACCATGTTGGGCCAATGGACCTCTTGTTTCGAATGTCAGCATAGCCTCATCTTTCCAGGAACTAGTAAAAAAAAAAAAAAAAAAAAGAAAGAAAACAGGTCTGAAGGAAATAGAGCAGTGAGCCTGTGAAGCAATATGCTCTTTCCGTCTTTTCTATTTGTTTCCATGTTTCTGATTTTTATCAGAATTAGGGCTTAGAGGAAAACTATAAATTACAGATAGATATTTTGATGTGTGAAATAGAAGTTGTTTTGCAGCAATCTTGGAAAATATGAAAGACACCAATTTGCCCATTAGAAGACTTAGTAGTATTTCTTATATTTAAATGAATTTCAAAATCTTCATGGCAAATCATGAAATATATATTTTAACAAAGAAGAGTAATCGATCTATTTGTGAATTATCCTGATTATAATTCTAACAGCAAATCGTTATTTAGCTAATAGGTTGTACTTGCAGAGATTTAGTTTAGGAGTAGCCCATTCATTCAGAAAATTGGGTTTGGGGCCGGCCCGGTGGCGCACTGCTACAGTGCGCCACTTGGGAGCATGGTGGCGCTCCCGCCGAGGGTTTGGATCCCACATACAGACCGGTTCCCGCTCACTGGCTGAGCGAGGTGCGGGCGCAGCACCGAGGTTTGCGATCCTGTTGCCAGTCCCGGTCCGGTACGGGCGCGACACTGAGGGTTGCGATCTGTTGCCGGACACGAAAAAAGACAAAAAGGAAAAAAAAAGAAAAAAAAAAAAAAAGAAAATTGGGTTTGGATTTCACACATCTGTGTTTGAATTTCCTCAGTCTTCTATTTTACCACAGGCATTCAAGCTTACTCCTGCATTCTAACACTAATGGTCAATATATAAAATCTGGGTTTAAATGAACATTTAGCTTTGGGAATTAAAGGAAGAAGGAAAGGATAATTTGTGATCTTTTTAGCCCTTGTTTCCTACTTTAGAGCATTAGCCGTAACAAATATAAAGTGCTCACAGCCATAACAGATGTAAAGTGCTATAAAGCTTTGTAACCGAAAGTTCAGGTTCGATGAGAAATTTCACCAGAATTAAAGGGCAGATTGCCGTGAGGGGATGGGCCTCCTGGCAAGGTCTGAGGTAACAGACTGTGGCAGGGGAAACTGGAGGGCATTTAGGCTCCCTTTCCTGAAAAGTAGGCTAGAGCCAAGATTAAAACCTAGATGAACCGTGTTGTATCAATATCTCCGTATGCTTTGAAATCAAGAGACTGCTTCTGGCAATATGGTAGCCTTTGCAAATCCTAGGAACATTCATGTATCAGAGACATGGCCTGCGTTCCATAATTTCCTCTCCCATTGTAATAACTTGTGAGGATTAAAGGGGCTCTGGGACAATTTTTCCAGGCCTTAGCAGGTACGTAGCTGTGGGCAATTACACTAGAGACTGCTGTAATATTGGGGAAGCATCTAGTCCTGTGTGAGGACTGGAAAGAAAGGAATGAAAGATGGGCGATTACATTTTTCCATAGAGACGGATGAGAACACGGTGCAAGTTTGGATAAATTCTTAGATTGAAAGACCAAGAATGGTTGGAACCATCCTCGGTTCCAATCTTGTCTCATTTAACCAGGTGATTCTTAGCCTAATATATTTAAAAGCTGGGGAGTTTTTTGTTTTGTTTATTTGTTTTGCCTGATAATCAAATCATGCTTCAAAAGCAGGAACCTTTTCCTAGTATTGCCCACAGAGGTGAAACCAGCCCTTTTACATGGAACAAAATGTAGAAATAACCAGCACCAGCCCTCATCCAGTCCATACCAAAGGGCAGCTTCTCCATGAGGAATTTAGTTTTCTTCGTCCTCAGTGAGCGTCAGTTTCTCTGGCCTCATCACAGTGTGTGGCAGGTGGATTGTACAGGGTCCTCACTGACAGATTTGACAATTATTCTCATCTCTTGGTGGCACAGGAGTGCCGGGGCCAGAATCTCAGACAAGTCCTGGAGCAGTTCCAGGCACTCAGACTACCGTGGTGGTTTTGGGATCCCTCTTTGTCCCTGTAAGGTCAGAGGCAGGAGCAGGAGAGCCTGAGCCCAGACAGAGGTGGAAATTAAGCTCCCACTGAGGTCCTGAAATGTTCTCGGCGTCGCAGGCTCCCTGCAGCAGTGGCAGCCTCTGAAAATCAAGTGTATCTGTCCCAAACTCAGCAACCCACCAGGCTGGAGGAGCCAGAGGTTCTTCTAACTCCCAGCCAAGACTTCAGCTACCAGTCAAAATCATAAGGTGTGACTTTGCTGGTCCCCTCCCCTTCCATTTGGGGTCTCTTACATTTAGGAATCTTGTTCCAATTCAAACCTCAGCACTCCATGCACTGCCCCAATACCTAGACCCCTTTCTCATCTCACCAGAGGGTATTAACAAGGCCCCCTCAAAAAACTGCCATCCTTAGAGGTTTTTTTTTTCTTCTACTCTCATCAAAACATACCCATCTTGTGTCCCAGTCCCTCAGAGTTTTTGTATCTAAATTACTAATAAATTATAGCAGAGTTTCACAAGGTGCTTATAAGAAACTAAGTTTCGAAGAATATTAATGGCTGCTTTGCACATGTGCACACATGAACACATATACATTCACATACACAAAATAGAAGGGGGGTTCCGTGGTCATATAAGTTTGGGTAAACCTGGGTAAACAATTAAATAGCTCTCTCTTCTGTGAGACTTCTCAGAGACTTTGCTATGCTCTGAGTGTCCCAGAAGTGGGTACAGGACACAGCTATTTTCTCCTAAGGTTCTCCCAGCCAATTGTGGACAGGTCAATTGGTAAAGGACTTTGGAGCACTGGTCCTTCCTTCCTTTCCCTTCTCTGTTCCCTGAGAACAGCTCGGACTCAGACCGTGCAGGATCTGGCAGGCCACTAGATGGGGGTGTTTCTCTGTAGCAGGTGGGCTGCTAGCACGCTACACGTTAAATAGCTATTGAGGCAAAGCCTATGCTTAGGGCACACACTGGTCAGGGATGCACAGTCCTAAAAGATCCATCTTGTCTGATGGATACTGATTTACCACACATGCAACATTTAAGACATTTTATGTTGTATTTAGTAGATTCATATCATACTGCTGGGTCTGATTGGGGTAATTTTTTTTTTTGGTCCCAGTGCATAAAAAAATAGCTTCAGTAAATATAGGCCCTACTTTAAGAAAACTCTGTATATAAGCACACAAGTTAATAAATAAAACATACAAACTGCATGGTACAGGGAACTTTTTTTCTTAGGATGGTGTATCATTAAACAATGAAAATCTGGGAGTGTTTTAGCCTCAGTGTTAGTCTTTAGAAAGCTGAAGGGGTGATAATGATAGTATAGAAAAAGGTTTTGTTTGTTTTTGTTTTTTTTACTTTGTGGCTATGGAGTCAGTTTGATAAAATAGAGAATTCTGTACCAAGTAGAATTGTCCAACAAGGGCGTATGGCGCCCCGTGGGTTAGTGAGCTGCCCATGGTGGAGTGTTTACGGGCTGTGCTGGGTGGCCAGCCTCCAGGACGTGGCTGAGAGGAGTCCTGGTGGTTGGGCAGGCTAGACTATGGTACCCGCAGGTCCTCGTCGCTAAAGTCCTGGGAGTGTATAAAAGAGCCAGCTGTCCCTTCAACTCTTCATAGTCTGTTGGGAATTCCAAGTTCCTCTAATGGAAAATTTGCTTTGCCTGGGCTGTGGGACTTCTGGCTTGGAGGCTGCCATTCGTTGGGGTGTTTTCTGTGTTACCAGATGGCACAGGCTTGTAGGCATAAATGTGAGGCAATGACAAAAACACATTTCACCTAGTAAATCAGTAAGACCATTGCCACAGAGAAAAGACAATGTAGGAAAAATCAGATATAAGGGTTAGGTTAAAATATAATCATGTTTACAACATCTAAACAAACTACGAAGAGCCAGAAAGGGCTGGATGTTCACTTCCAGCTTTAATGTTTTTGGAATTAATATTTGTCCGTATTTAGTGACAAAACTCAGTGTATCCTCACCATTTTGTATTCAGTGGTGTCATTTCTGGAGGGTGTCCTCGCCCTTTGTTAATCTCCAAATAACCAGGGCTCTGGAATCTTGCGAAGGGGGCTGGGGTGGGAATTAGGGCAGTGTTTTTCACTGTGGGGAGAAAAGAGGCAGCTGGCTGGCTTATCATTACTTTTTCACATGACGCCTAGAGCCAAGAAAAGTAATAATCATTGACAAGGTAAGTAACTCTTCGCCAAGGAGCTGTTTTTCCAGGGTTTAGGAGAAATGTGATTGTCAGTTGAAGGTGATGGATCTTCAGAAATGTCAGACAACTCATCGTAAACATCTTGGTCCATGCCACCTCCACCCCCATCAAGCCTCCATGGGGGTGGGGAGCAGATTTGGTGCCAGTTATGCCAAAGAGAGATTTCTGGTGGTCTCTGCTGGGCTCGTATTCACATTCCTTAAGAGGCCATTCTGGACTCTCACAGGGCTTTGTGAGGGAAACGGGCTGGTTTCAAGTGATCTGCAGCCAAAGTAATTGTGATTTTACAATGACGGTGGAAGTCTGACTGTCCCTGTTCTCTTTCACGCTGGCACCGGGCAGAGTGTGGGAACTACTGCCTCAATAGTAAGTACAGTAAGTCCTATGAGAGACTGTGAAAGCACTCTGGGCTTGTGCCAGGGCAGGCTCTGGCCAAGGCGCGGGCACAGTGCAGGCCAACCACATGCACAGGGGAACCGGGGTAAGTGGCAGGGGAGCTCGGACAGGCCTACCAGGGCAGTGGGAATCCTCGCTGCCAGAGCGCCCGCCCTAAGAACACACTTACCTCGCAGCTGGATCTCGGGAGCGCCTGAGCTCCTGAGCTGGGGGCTTAGCAGGCAGCTGGACGGGGCCCACCCAGACCCCTTCCGAGGCTCCATGTGCAGAGCTGATGTGTGACAGGCACTTCCTGACCATTTCAGCGAGTCCAGGGGAACGATGGCTATTGGCCACAGGCCCACGTCCACGGCCAACAACAGCAGGGATGGGCCCTGGCTGTACCTCTCACCCTGGGGGTAAGCCAAGCCCGCCAGGGGCTCCTTGGTTGTGTTTAGCTCGGAAACGACTCCTCCTTGGTCAGCTTGCATGTTCTCTCCTCTCTTCCTAGTACCAGTCCCCTGAAATGAGGGGCCTGTCATCCCAGCTAAGGGCCCCTTTCACCTCCTGCGCTGGTGCACGCCTGTTGCTCTTCTGCTCTCCCTTCTTCCCTCATTTTCATCTATATCCCTCTGGGTCCATTCCCTCCGCTCCTTTCTCTGCTTCTGTCCCTTTAACATTTCCCCTCCTCCTCCTCTCCTTGCCTGGGGGCTGCCTGTCTACCTGTCTCTCCTTTCTTCCTCCCCCTCTTCCTCCTTTGCACTTTCTTCACTCCTCTTCCTCCTCCCTGTGTTAACCAGAAGAGGGAGGGTGGCTGGTGTGGCCCAGAACAGGAGCCTCTCACCTCTGTCCCTGGGGGTCCTCTAGGCGGGCAGGCCTTGTCCAGGGTTGTGCTGCTTCAAACAGTAACGAAGCAATCTCTTGGGTACCTACCTCAGAAATTATCTTTTAAATTTTAATTTCTCTTTCTTTTATTTATTTTGTTTGCTTTCTTCTTTTCTTGCTCCCTTTTTCTTTTCTTTTTGATGAAAATATTTTGAGAACAGGCCATGGTAACCTGCCAACATAGGAACTTGTACTTGGGTTCAATGTGTTTTTTTTTTTTTTTTTCTTTCTTCTCTTCTCTTTCATTTCATTAATTAAATTATTTATTTGTATGTTTAAAAGTTGAGTTTAAAGTCTCCCACTGTTCATTGCATCAAATAATTATACATTTTTTCTCCTGGGTGCAGAGTCCTTTTTTCAATGTCTTCTTTTGTACCAACCATATATTTTCTTGAAACTGTAACTTATTTTATAAGCTAGTTTATTTTCTCTCATTTTGCACATTGCTTTGAATATGACATTTATTCTACCTCAGTTTCTTTAAACTGCCATTTTTGTGTCTTTCCAAAGAGGGAAAAGATATTGTTATTATCTCTCTAGTAGAAATCCCCTAACCTCATCCCCAGTTTGTGACACCCAACACAGCTAACTAAGCTCTTCTTTTACCAACCGTGTGTAAAAGTGATTCATCAGGAAAACAAAGTGATGAGAAGTTGGGAGGAAGGAAACACATTTCTGTAATGTTGGAAAGTAAAGTGGGGCCAGGAGCCAGAATGACGGAGAGCCAGTCTGGTTCACGGTCTGCCACTCTCTTAGACGCACAATCTTGGGCAAATCTTTGTTTTCTAAGCATCATTTTCCTCTTTTACAAAATGGGAATAACCAGCCCTTCTCTTCCCTCATATCCCTGCTGTTTCATGAGACTCTGGTGAAGGTCTTGTGAAATACCACACGGAAAGGTGATTTATAAATGCAAGAGTCATTTATAATTCACCAATTTGTAATTCACCATTTATAATTCACTAGTCTCTTGAGGTCATAGCTGAAGGGGTTCTGGGGCAGATTAGCTTTAAATAGAGAAATCCTAATGGGCTTTGTTTAGGGATTGTTATCTCTGCCTCCCTTGGAGAACATCTGGGGTTATTCCCAGCTGCTCCTCACATGGCCCAAGACCTGCTCTTTGGCTTCCAAGAATAATTGGGAACAGTTTAAGTTTCAGCACATTTCAAGGCCTTCTCAGTAGTGCTGAGGCCAGTGACAGTGACTTCCCAGGAGGGGAAGCAGGGAGAGGCCAACTCCAGGCCTTCAGGCCCGGAGGCTCTGAACCTGGCCAAGTGCATGTGAAGCCAAGAGCAAGGGGCTGACAAGTTGTTAAATGTCATATTTCCTGGAGCTGGCTTTCTTGGTATTTTCCTGCCACACGTTTAAGTGCAGGGGTCAAGAGAGCTACATCCCATCTAACCTCCATTTTCTGTTCTGTCCCAGCAATCACAGAAGCCATTGAGATCCCGCAGTTTATCGGCCGCAGTTACCTGATCTATGACAATCCAGATATCCTCAAGAGGTAATAAACTTCAACAGACACTTTCCTTATCTCCCTTGGGATAGATTTCTCAGTGTCTTTTCCAAAGCTTTTTCTTATCTTCCATGCCAACAGATAATTCTCAAAGAAGGCATTAAGCCACAGCCTTAAGGGCAAAAAAAAAAAACCTCACAAAATAAACATAGAAACAAAAACAAAACTAACTGTGATAAATCAGCCTTTCAAACAACCCTGTTCCAGAGATCCAAACGCTTTCTGGTCAAAAGGGCCTGGAGAGAGTACTGTGACCAACCTCTGGTTACCAATATTCAGGCTTTGAGAAGCAGTGAGAATTTGGTGCTCACAAAGCTGGGGTTATGAGTGTAATTTTTTGAGCAGGGCAGCTAGTTTCATGCTGTTCTGAGGCCATTGTCTGCAGCTCTGACTGGGGCCCACAGCTTACAGGTTCGGCTGCTCCCCCAACCAGACAGGCCCAAGCCCTTTCCTGCTAGGTCAGTGTCTACCTCGCATCTTCTTCTGTAAAGATCTAAAGTCCTCTTCTGGCTCTGGCCAGTTCAGTGAGGGGCTTCTTAGTTCTCTGCATGTGGATACAAGAGCATGGCATAAGGGAGATGGCCAAGTCACAGCTATAGCTTTTAACTCCTGGTGGCAGAGGCTCCAGCCCTGGGCAGGTGTCTAGCTCTTGGTTTTGATTAGCCTACTTACATGGCAAGGGGGAAGACTGGCCCTTGGCAAAATCCTCATTCCAGTGAAGCTTGTTTCTAATGCTTGAAGCTTGCCCCTTCTCTTTTTCTTAGTTCTTTGTAATTTATAGTGTGCTACCCCCTCTCTGCCTTCAGCACAATCATTCTAGAATTTTCTTTCCTCTTCAGGCTGAATGTGTCTTGACAGACTAAGGTATATCTTTAAGCTTAAGGTATCCAGCTCTTAGGGCAGAGTCTGGTGGCTTATCAAGGAACAAAAGTGGTTGAGAGAAATTCTCTTGGGGCATTGTATCTCCCTGATAACTCCAAATGCATACCAGACAGACATTGCCTCACTTCTCTGATCCCAGGTTGTATTTATCTATGTTGTCTGGGTATGGGGATTAAGGTAAAATGGATTCTCAGCCAAGAGAGATCCTCTTCCTTATTCAGCCCTTTCTCCCCCAAAGATGGAAGGTCATTCAGTCCCCAGAAAGCAATGACAATGTGAAATGGTCCCAAGTCCTCAGCTCCTGGTAGTTAGTGAGAGACTACCCGGTGGTTTGGGGGAGTAGATGGTTTGATGAGAGTAGGAGGCATAGAACCCAAAATTAGAGCAACTGTGATAGTGTATGTAGGTGTGTGTGTGCATGTACATGTAGGTACATATGCATGTGTGTGGAGCTGCAGGTAAAAGTCAAGTTCAAGGTCTGCTTCAGTTGGATGCCTTTGGTGGCAGGTGACAGAAAACTCAGCTTAACATGTCTTAAAACATGAAGGGTATTTATGATTTCATATAACAAGGAGTCCAGAGTTAGACTGGATCCTGGATCAGTCAATTCAGAGAATCAGTGTGGCATCAAGGACCCATATTTCATCCATATTTCTGCCTTATTATCCTCAGCATATTCTCCCAAGGCTACTCTCCAGCTGTCCATATGCTCATAAGATGGTTATAAAACAGAGCAATACCCAATGAAAGTAAAAGTCTTTTTTCCTCATGAGACTCTTTTTACAAGGGATAAATCTTTCCCAGAATCCTCCTGGTAAAATTCCTCTATCTCGTTAGACAAAAGTGGGTCACATGCCCACCCCTAAACCAATCACTGGCAAGAGAAATGGAAACATCTCGACTGGCTTATACCAATCAATATACCCAGAGCAGGTGGGGGAAGGAGGGAACCTGGAGCCCAGCTTTGGGAAAAGCAGTTCTCTAGGGAATGGGCCAGGGCTGGGTTGCTCTGCACGTGGCCCAGTGGACCTCATTCCTCCCTCCGGGAAGCCCAGACAAAAGTTGTCTCCACTGTTCGCTACTGAACACACTCTACAGGTCCAGACCCAGGTGTGTGGGACAGGCCAAGGGACAGGACAAGTGACGGGAGAGTGAAAAAAGAAGCTTTCCAATAGTGTTATATTAGTAGCAATACTAAGTTATGTTGACTGCATTCCACCTTTGAGTCAAGCACCTTGCTCTTTTCCCTCTATCAAGTGAAATATTGATCACATTAGTGAGGATGAATTTCTGAACTAGTCTATTTCCAAGAATTGGTAAGCTCCCATAAGCATGTGAACCTATTCCCAGCCATGGCTGTAGAGCCTGGAGCCACCCTGCCTAAGCACCTTCCTTTCCTCACGACTTCCTGTTCTTCTCCACCCTGGCTCTGCCCCAACACCCCTCCAGACCATTAACCCATCAGGCCACCTTCCCTGTCTGAGATTCCACCCCCCGTCCAGTCAACTCTGTCCTATCCTGCCCCCAAGGACAGTCACTGCCAGAGCTGGCCATCCACAGCCATGCTCACAGCCCACAGGGGTGCCGACTCGAGCCTCTTGGTAATTAGAAACCCACTTTCTGTTGGGGAATGAGGAACAGTTTCCCAAGGGTCTTTGAGTAGTAGGATAGGAGAGAGGAAAGACTGAGGTGTGTACAGGGTGCAGCCTGGGACCACGGTGATGGTCTTAGTCTTGCTAATCTGTGACTTAGCAAGGGCTCTCTCATAGGGGTTCGCAATACTTGGAGAGGGAGACATTGCTGCCGAGTGAGTGGTGCAGACTGTAGTCCCGTGGTGTGACTCATGGTAGTGATACTATTTCTAATCTCCTGGAAGCAAGCATCTGAAATGCCAGAGTAACCTTGCACCTGGTTGCTTGGGGCTGGCAGACAAAACTGGGATTACTCAGAAACAGATGTTGGTGGTTGACTCGGTGCACTTACTCGTGTATTTCTTCCAGGGTGTCAGGGTCAAGATCAAATGTGTTCATGAGGTTTAAGACGACTGCTAAGGATGGCCTGTTGATGTGGAGGGGAGACAGCCCCATGAGATCCAACAGTGATTTCGTTTCTCTGGGCCTTCGGGATGGAGCTCTTGTGTTCAGGTAACCCCCTCTCCAGGTGCCTGGAGCAGCACCTTGCTATTTTTCTCAGACAGCTCAGATCATGCCAAAGAGAGTGATTCAGTGGTGAGCCAAGCAGTCTGCTAGAACTGGCTGTAGCCTGACCCTCCAGGCTTATCTGAGGCACCTGGTCTTTCCTTCCAGCATCCATCTTCTAGAGCAGCTGTCAGCAGGCTAAAGGCTGCAGGCCAAATCTGGCCCACTACCCACTTTTGTAAATAAAGTTTTATTGCAATACTGCCATACTCATTCATTTGTATATTGTCCATGACTATGTTTATGCTACAGTAGCATACTTGAGCAGTTTCAATAGGCATTATATGGCAAAGCCTAAAATATTTACTATCTGGCCCTTCACAGAACAATTCTGTGACCCCCAGTCTAGTGTGTAACTGCCGTATGTGCCCCACTCGCAAACTAGGAGGGAGTGGAAAGAAGACTTTGGTGCTGCCCAGCATGAAAGCCAAGCATGGAAGTGAGTGCACAGCTTCGTACGGTATCACCAGCTCAGGGAGATCTGGAGATCTAGACTCTGGCAGCCCTGGCTTTCAATTCTGAGGCTGCTCCCTATTAGCCACAAATTAGAATATATTAGAATGCAAATTCTCAGGCCCCCCCCCCCCCCCCCCCCCCCCCCCCCCCCCCC